CATTATTTTACTTGAAATTCGACCTGGTATAGAAACACGTCTTTTCCCAAGCTACATGTCAACTCGTACCTTCGCTAACTCGTACTCAACTAACTCGTACCCTATTTTTACCAACTCGTACCCAATATTTTATTATTATTCATATGCATTATGGTTATTATTTTCTTTCACATATCATGATAATATAGCAACATACAAATAAAATGAAATATAACTTCATCGGTACATTAACGTTGTAAAAGCTAATCTTTGGAAAAAAGTATATAAAGGCGAAATGTATGATCAGAGACATATATACACATGTGTATATATGTCTCTGGTATGATGTTCTTCATTTGCATTCATAGTTCGTCCACGTCGTAACGTATGCAAGAAGACAGATACGTCTCTACAAGATGCTCTACAATGTGACACATGTACATTTACATGTGACAACTGGCAGCACATCGTCTTTGATCGTCTTTGTGAAACAAGTAAGTTGATTTATCTTATTTTTTTTTGGGGGGGGGATAGATATTAAGCCCACTACTTAAAACATGCTTGGTGCTGTATATCATATTTCATCGTATTTAATTTTGTCGTTGTAATGAAATATAATCTTAGACAAGGGCCGTTTAATCCAATCTTGTCAATGATTTATTCCAAGGACTGATAACTCGAGCATCAATTGTTATCTATCCATCCCAGCGTGTGGTTAAATAGCGAGGTCTGGCAATTAGTACCTTGTACTTTTCGTCTCTTATGTTAAATTCATGTGATAAACATACAAAAGAAATTTGCTGATAATATCATGGTAATATATCAAGAACCGATTATGTGAACATTTTGGATATAGTTTCTAAATCTGTTCGTAAAAACAGAGTCGTAGCTTCCCTTGAGGCAATGAGGCAACTGCCTCACTAAATGTGCTACTATAAGTTAAGGAAGATGCAATGTACAATTCTACAATGTATTTTCCTTCTAAAATTATATTTGACAGCTTGAAAGAATTTATTCAACCTTTTTAATTAAAGATTCAACGTTGATACAAATATCCTGTAAGCAAAGGACAGATACCTTATAAATACCACTAGAACAAGAAGTTATTTAAAACTGACTTCATCAATATCCCGTTTTTCATTGACAACAAATGTGTACCGATTCTTATTTTTGATGGTGTAGTCCGTTAACTTGGTCTTTCTTTTAAAAAAAAGAGGCTGCAGACACCAAGGGGATACTCAAAACTAACAAGGCGAAAAAAAAATTATAAACACTGACAACGCCATGGCAAACAAGGCATACATCAGTTTGAAAATATGAAAGAAAATTTACATGCAAAATGTTTACATCGAGAAAATGTAAAAGGGGGGGGGGGGGGTGTTCTATGCCAAAAGCGCCAACAAAAGTTTTGGTATCTGGACAAAAGAATTTCAAAATTTGTCTTTATGAAAAATATTCGCATAATAAACAACTCTTATTGTTTCCACACCAAACAATCTTTATTATGCATAGTAGAGAACGAAAAACCTCACATTGATGCACAAATATGAGATGTGGTGCCTTGAAAACTTTATTATAGCAACAAGTATCAATATTGTATCGATCGACTACATGTGGTTTATCTCCTTATTTTACATGTACTCCGCGGGAGGTTATCAAAGATCTTACTTTATAATATTACAAGTGGACAATGCAAATACGGCATATTATGTACAGCTCATAGAAGTATCATATTAACATTTTACTTCCATGTACAGATCAAGGGTATTCTATAAACTGGTCAACCATTCCATCGAAAGCACCGCCCGAAGTGATCTGATACTACAAAGTAATAAATGTACTCTTCTGTTCCATTTTTAGATGGTGACGTTCCCTTGTCTCCATCTTATGGTGTTTATATATCTCAACTTGTTCGATTCGCTCGTGTATGTAACAATTAACGTATTTGATCTCAACGAAAGAAATCTCTGTATTACAGGAAAATTCAATACTAGTAATGGCATTGAGCAATGCTGTTAAAGGCGGTATTACAGATTTTGATACATGTTTCAAATGTTCAGAAGACGCCGGATGTCAAATTCATCAGCAGTTTTATCATTATAAAGACTTTCGATTGCAACATGATCCTCATCTACAGAAATTTAAGTTTGAAAACTCGTCCTTGTTTGCTATAAATTTACAGTATTGTCTCCAAGCCATATTTTACTCTGGTATAGCATGTTCATCATCAAATATGACATTTTTTTAAAAGTACAGCTACCGTGATCTTCATAAAACATTGTTCATTAAAATCAGATGGTATTTCCTATCGTTCTTCGTCATACTACAACAAATGGAAGTTTTTAACGACCTTGACTGGCTATACAGCCCTTGCACGGTCGGTACTTAAGACACTATGTGATCCTTAATTGTTTAGATCTTTTGATGAGTGTATAGAATCCAACAGTATTCTTTGTCCTGTTTATATAGTTAACATATCAATCTTCGATCATACGTGAGTGTCCTCGACTAAGTCCGCGGCACTGCAATTAGAACAGTTTTTTTTCTCAAAGACCTACTAGTATGAGTATTTTTAAGACTCCACTGTTCTTGTTCGTTTGTTAGGGTATTGTCATTTTTTTTTTCGTTGTGGAAAGGGGGCTTGAAGGAAACATCTGAATTTCTCTTTTTTTCGAGCCCCCCCTCAGTTTTTTCGAGTCCCCCTCTGGAAAAAGGAAATCTTATTCAAGATCACCCTTTCAAAGACATGAACATTTTAACACACCCCCATACATACCCCTCCCCCCCAAAAAAAACATACTTTTCAATATACATTTATCTTGAAGACAAAAAGTACATGCATACAGTTTCTATTATTATTATTCAATAAAATAGTGCATTTGTAGTGGAAATAAAGCTTCAAGTGGGGAAGTTGTTTGTGACTTCAGGGAACTTTATTATTGATTGATTTGTGTTTTACACCACTATTGTGATATTTCTTGGCGGTCAGTTTGTATTGGTGGAGGAAGCCGGAGTGCCCGGACAGAACCACCAACCTTCGGTTGGAAAACTGACAATCCTAGTCAATTAAGATTGATTGGAGTCGATTGCACCTGCCTTGTGCGGTATTCGAATTCATAACCTCAGCGTTGACTGGCTAGTGATACAGTATTTGGACTAATTAGACCACTTGGCCGCCAAGGCCCCTAGAACTTTATTTAGATATGTCTGTTATGGTTTCATTGACATTTACCAGGCGATCATTCAATTTCAGCACATTGTTCCTAACCTTTATTAAAGAAGTTAATAAATTAACTTCAGATAAAAATTCTACCCTGGAAGAACATGTTGAAACTTAGAATTTTTTTCTTAACAACTGATCCGAGCGGAGCGTAGCGAAAAAAAATTTGGGTCTTACCTGCCCAAACCAAATATTGTAAGCGTTGGGTGTGGACAAAATTAAAATTATAAATGCCACACTTGACTCCTAGATATCACCTTGAACCATTGAAATATATGCCTATCATGGGTTTTACGACTAATCATTTAAGGGAATAACTATTAATATCATCAGTCAACGGTTTTTATCATATGGAAAGGGGTATTACATGAAGAAAACCGTATTCGAGGAAACCTGCAAAAACTAAGGCATCAAACTATTATTTCATATTATTGTTATTCTTCATGACTCACATTAGTAAAACATTGAAATGAAGTTTCAAGCCAAATAGTGTATGACACAAATGATATTTGACATCTGAATGAAATGTTAGACCCTTCTACTGATTTAGAGTATTCATCAAGTAATCTATAAATTTTGCATGTTTAAAATCAGACAGAATTGCTCAAATCTTGTAAAAATGTTCGAGGCAAATCTGAAGACGTCAGACTTGTCTTATTTGACACTCGACTTGACTTACCTGTCCCTGGAAACATCACATTGATTAATGAGGCTGATCCAACGCCTGATGAAGATGAAACGGACATTTTGATAAATACCGATCTACAAAAGAGTCCAGCTGGGTTGTTCAAACAGTGCGAGAAAAATACAGGTATTGTAAAAAAAAAAACAAGCAAAAAAAAAGGAAATAATTGTCAAATATTACCTCTGGTAAAGCTAATTATAACTGAGGATGATGTAATGGCTGATATTGTAGCACATTGTTAAAAGCCAAAGAGTACAGAAGTTATTAACAAAAAGAAACCAAAATGTGTAAATAAAACAAATAAATGTAAAAAAAAAAAAACTAAAACATGTGTGGAAAGCAATGTAAAGGTAACTAAATCCAAGAAAGCAAAAGAAGTAAAAGGTGTTTCTAAAGCAAAAAATACATCGCCTAAACCTGATCACTCTGGGTTACAAAAAAATATAATTTCAGAACTCATTTGACGATACATGTAGTATTGGAGATAATGATGAATCACCATGATGGTGTGTGTGTAAAACACGTTTCCCAGAAGCATTGAGACAGTGTGTGTCTCTTGTTTCTCCTCCGTGGGGTAAATGTATGTATTCACAATGTGACCATTGACCCCTCTAAGATTTTGTTTTAAGGCGTCACAGTTTTTTTTTTATTGTCATAGACTTCCATGGCTACAATATGAAGAGTTATATATGTTTAATGTGTAAAATACATTTTATATTTGTGTATGTTACCATTTATTTGATGAAGTCATAAGCTAGTGTGATTTCCTCTTGCACTTTAAATCATTTGCTATATTCATTGGCATCAAATAATAACCAATTCCGGAAAATATTAAAAATTTAAGATCGAACATATACCCCGTAAATATTCAACCAGATAAAATTGAAATTCCGAGAAATATGTTAGTAGGTCGGAAAATACAATACACGAGGATATATTGAAAAATTAAATATAATTTCAAGCCCCCCCTTCATTTACTTTCCCCATTTCAGGTTAAAAATTACCAGTCCCTTAGTCGTTGTTTTTTGTTGTTGTATTTTTAGTTAGCAAATGAACATTGATCAACAGTGCTTCTCATAGCTTTGATGTATTAGATCCAAAGGAAGACAACTCGTACTACCTTGACAACCACGTGACCTCGACCTTGAAAGTGAAAGAAGATCATCTCAAGACATTTGCCGGAACATACTGTCCTGAATCAAAAACTACCCATGGACTCTGGATCAGTATTTGCTGATATAGAAGGTGCACCTGCAATCGAAGTGTTCAAGCTGATAGGGGATTACAATGAAGACACATTTGACAAAAAAGTAAATTTAGGAGTTGGAGGTTGGTATGAACTTTGTCTATTTATAGCGAAGAAACACCACTTAAGTAATGTGAACTTTTAAGAAACATATGCAAAGGTAGTTGGAAACCCGGAACCATTCACCATGATGCAGATTGGGCACAAACCATACAGTCATGACAACCCCATTTGATAAATGGGAAGAGTGTGGTGGGTGGGTGGGTTGTAGTACTTGTACTGGTAGTCCAAATAATTATGAGGTCTTGAAAGGATATTTTATTTTTTTGCCTCAAATTGATTTATTGAAGTCATAATTTGTCTTAAATTAAAGGGAGACAAATCTTGAAACAAATTTAGACCTCTATGAGTCAAAAGCAGATTTAGACTTATTTATGTCTGAGCTCTGACTGGCCAACTAGCTCACTTAGTGAAAAAGGGTAATATAGCTTACTGTTCGGTGTGAGCCAAGGCTCCATGTTGAAGACCGTACTTTGACCTATAAAGGTTTACTCATAGATATATAAACATTAGTTCTGGCTAAAAAAGATATCCGCATTTATTAATTTCTTTTCGAGAATAATTTGTAATATTGTTTTACCTACATGAACATTATTTTTTCCTAATCAAGTCATTCTAAAATATTATATATTTTGATTTTATCTCTTTCTGATTTTTAGCATGTTTAACTGCTAAGTAGCTTTTGATTGTCAGTTTTCTATTGCCTAGATTGTCAATCGGCATCTCAATGACCAACTGGTTCATGTCATTATCAGATAAGTGTGAAAGCCATTACAACGCACATAGAACCTTTGAAGTCAGTGTTGAGCTTCATCTATGGGTTTATACATTTGTACATCTATGGTTTACTTTTATAAATTTTGACTTGGATGGAGAGTTGTCTCATTGGCACTCATACCACATCTTCTTATATCTAATATCTAGATTAATATATAATTTTCATGACTGCCAACTCGCCCCACTTAATTGAAACCTAATCACAGAATACCAAAAAAAAACAGAAAATTTATTTAATTATTATTATTGAAATTAAATGATGTTTCACTTTCTGAAATTATAATTCTAAATATAATTTTCGTATTATTGGAGAATAACTTTATTCTTGTAAGCTTAGTTATTTTCGCCAAAATAAAACATTTCATTGCCTCCATTTGCACCAATAATACAGGTAAAGACAGGTAAATAGTATAGAACAAAGTTTTATTCAAAGACAAATTTGAATATATCACAAACTTAATTTTTATCATTTTTCTTCAGCTTTATTTAAACAAAAAAAAGAATCACAAAAGATGTTTATCTAAGGTTTTCATAGGTATTGATTTTTATTTATAAGTGGGGCAGGAACATAGATATACAACGGGATAGCATCTTTTTCCATAAGTGGGGCGAGTTGGCATTACTAAATTCATCGTGGTTTATAACTTCGTACTTTATTTTGGCCTTTTTAACTGTTTTGGATTCGAGCGTCACTGGTGAGTCTTTTGTAGACAAAACGCGAGTCTGGCGTGAAAACAAAATTTGATCCTGGTATCTATGATGAGTTTATTTATCTATTTGTCATGAGTGGGGCGAGTTGGCAGATCTTATTTCAGCGGGATTTTAACCCTTTTCATAAGTGGGGTAAGTTTTCCATCCTATTTTCAATGGGATTTTACCCATTTTCATAAGTGGGGCGATTTTTTAGGAAATGGGGTGAGTTGGTGAAAAAGTGGGGCTATTAGGTGTGGGGCGATTTGCCAATGGGGCGATTTGTCATGGATTCATAGGAATCAATGAATATTCTGCAACACAAAATGCAGGAATCAAATGTGTACAAAAGCAGAGACATATACATACATTGTATTATATGTCTCTGACAAAAGTAATAGAAATAAAATTAAGAGTGTCAAAGCTTGAAAAAAAGGTTGCTAGCAACAGATAAAACTAAGGCCAAAAATAATATATTTTACGGTTACCCGACCGACCCTACTTTTGAGCGCCGACCCTTAGTCATTTTATTTCCATCGTAAAGTGAAAAATAAACTGAACTCGTGTCAAAAGCTAAGTTAGTGTTGCAAATAATATAAATCAATTGCCTGATACATCCCAATGTTCACAATCATGAATATGACAGCTTTTTTAAGGAAATTCGCTACTCGTGTGATGAAATAAACACTAATTTGCCCACCCTATTTTTTAAAAGTATGTAACCTTAAACAGACATATATATTTTTTTTTTGGCCTAAATGATCAATCCAGGAGAAATCCTCCTGGCTTCCCATAACATCAAATAGTAGTCCCATAAGAAGCAGAATCACAACGAATTGCCAACCTCTGTGTTATAAATTTAGGTATTAATTTCAAGCGCTAATTAGTTGTACATGTACAACATATCCTAGTCTCATGGGTTTTCGCGCTATGAAAAATGCATTGTGACATCATAATTTCCATTGAAAAAGCATGCATAGAACGAATTCATATGACATACAAAAACATATGATCTGACCATATGACTTCTCATTCTGTTTCTATTTGCATTGTTTTCATGCAGATATCTTCATAATGCGAAATCATACAAGAATTCTTATAGTTCTTGATTTGATATAATCACATTTAAAACAAAACACCTTCTATCTGGAATTCTATGTTTTCTATGTTTTCAAGTTCTGAATTGTAATTATCTAGTTCCTGCCATGCCTTAAAACTTTAAAAGGTGCACAGGTCTGTACTCAAGATTAAAATGTTAACACAGCCCTATTTTTCAATAGACTATTTTCATATTAAAGACTTTTGACGCCGGATTTTATATTTTTTGACAGGTTACCTTCTCTGTGGTAGGACATCCTGATACTCGGTTAAGAAAGAGCAACTTAAAGTAGTAAAATCAAGCTTAGGAGTGATATCGGTACAACATGTACAATTTAGCGGGGAAATTAACTGTTTTATGTTTTCTATACACAACAACATTTTCGGAAAATAGTAAAATTTCCCCCCAAATTGCACCAATTATATGTTTGATTTTACTTCTTTTGCTTGCTTTTACATGTTTTACTTGACCAAGTACCAGGATGTCCTACCACAGAGAAGGTAACCTGTAGAAAAATTATAAAATCCGGGGTCAAAAATGGGTAATACACAATGTATATGAAAATAGTGTATTCCTTTGGATATTAATGATATAAAAGTTTTAAAAAGAAGTTAACAGGCTATTATTTGAACTTGGAATTATTTTTAATTATGGAATTTGCATAATTTCTTGTGCTGGAAATTTTTAATAAATTCCATGTTTATTCTGTACTTCAATGTTCTGTGCTGTGCACAACACTTTCTATTACAAAGAAAATAGTACATTTTCAATAGAATGTATTGTGCCGCGCACAACACTATCTATACAAAATACATTATATGGAAAGTGTTATGAACCACTCAAAACATTATAATAACAAATAAACAAGGATTTTATCAAAAAATTCAAGCACAAGAAATTATGCAAATTCCATAATTAAAAATAATTCCAAGTTCAAATAATAGCCTGTTAGTTACTTTAAGCTTGAGTCAGTTATGTTGATAGAGAGACACACCATTGTTTTGAAATATTATTGGAATATTTTAACCCACATTTTCCAAAAACACTTACATGACTTATAGACATATGTTAAGTTGACTGTTTTTATACCCCCGCCGTAGTGGTGGGGGCATTAAGTTTTACCCTTGTCCGTCTACGGACGTACGTCTGTCCGTACGTCCCAAAATTGGTTTCCGTTCTCTTAACTTGAGTTTGCCTCAACCAAATGTTATGAAACTTATACACAATGCTTATTTCCACAAAACACAGATCAAGTTTGAATTTTGGTGGCGTCTCTTTAATGGTTCTAGAGTTATGCCCCTTTATAAATGGAAAAATTGCAAAATTTTTAGTTTCTGTTCTCTAACTTAAGTTTGCCTCAACCAAATGTTATGCAACTTATACACAATGCTAATTACCACAAAACACAGATCAAATTTGAATTTTGGTGGCACGACTTTAACCGTTCTAGAGTTACGCCCCTTTATAAATGGTAAAATTGCAAATTTTTTATTTTCTTCTAAATATCAAGTAATTTTTAAAATTGGAGTTATCCTCCTTTGTCCATGATTATAGTTGAATCAACTACAATCAATGGTTTATACAATGCAATGTTTAATTTTGACTTCCACTGATAAAACACAGATCAAGTTGAATTTGGGTAGTGTCACTTTAACCATTATTGAGTTATGCCCCTTTATAAATCGAAAGATTGCAAAATTTTTAGTTTCCATTCTGTAACTTAAGTTTGCCCCAACCAAACATTATGAAACCTATACACAATATTCATTACCACAAAACTAAGATCAAGTACAAATTTTTTGTTTCCGTTTTCTAACTTTAGTTTGCATCAACCAAATGTTATGAAACTTATACACAATGCTTATTACTACATAATACAGATTAAGTACGAAATTTGGTGGCGACACTTTTACCATTCTTGAGTTATGTCCGTTTATAAACATAAAAATTGCTGAATTTTTCGTTTCCGTTCTCTAACTTTAGTTTGTCTCAACCAAATGTTATAAAACTTATACACAAACGTTCTAGAGTTATGTGAGTTTACAAATAGAAAAATTGCTGAATTTTTAGTTTCTGTTCTCTACTTAAGTTAGCCTCAACCAAATGTTATGCAGGGCTCGACATTACCGTTTGTCCGATTGTCCGGGACAAGTGGACACAGGCGTCGGGCAAGTAGATTCACCATACTACTTGTCCGATGGGGCGTGAAAAATCGAGGTAAGATGTAAAATAGATCAAATTCAAGACTTATATAGTCCCAAAAATATGAATGATTGTTTTATTAACCATACTAAATGAAATAAATATTCATTCATTGAACCAGAGACATATAATACTTGTATAATACGTCTCAGATTGAACGTATTTGAACATGCTGGCAGCTATTGACCGGGGGAATATAAGTAAAGGGGAAAGAAACAAATGTTAATGCTTCTTCTTAGTATAAGCCTCCTTGCATTAGGAGCACCTCCATATGGAGTTTTACCACAACTTAAAATTTTTAAGTTAAAGTATGTTTCATTTGATTTTGCTTTTATGCATAACAATACATTAAAAGAGGTTATATTTAATAAGATCTATATATAAAAATAATACTTTAAGATGTAAAAATTAAATAAAATCTAAAAAGGCAGATTTTTTAGTGAAATGTTTTATGTACTTCATGATCATATATCAATGTATATACAAATAAAAAAAAATGGTAAAAGCTTGTTTTGACACCATTAATAAATTAAAAAGGTTTAATCATATACAATGTGGCCAGGTGTATTTACATCCTTAGTTTAACCCATACCACTACTACAGAATGAATAGGTCCATAGGAGAACCTAGTGGTTTGGGAAGAAATGATGATTTAATGATCGACACATGATAGTGACATTGAGTCAGAGAACTCAGTCTTGCAAATAATCTTTCAGTCTGAAATAATAAAATGAATTTTGATGTGGTATTCATATAACATAACAAAATGCTCCCTTTATTAGATACAATCAAAGTGCAAGTGTTATTATTGCATATCATCAATATGTAAGATTTTCGATTATGAATTCGGACAAGTGAGTTAGGAGTTCGGACAAGTTGATTTTCTTGCAACTTGTCCGAAGGGACAAGTTAAAAAAAATGATAATGTAGAGGCCTGTTATGAGACTTACATACAATGCTTATTACCACAAAACTCAGATCAAGTTCAAATTTGGGTAGCGTCACTTTTACCATTCTTCAGTTATGTCATTTATAACTATATGATATGCAAGCAGGGGCATCATCTGTGTCCACATGTGGACACTATCCACATTTTTTTTTTTTTTTTTTAAATTTGCATTTGTTAGAGATACATAAAGTACCGGTACCTTATCCTGGCCTCGTGAACGTTAGTATATAGCATTTCAGTGATATGGTTAGTACTTGTTAGTACACAATTAATCATGTTAATACACTCATATACAGTTCAGCTAATGAATAATATATATGCAACAGATTAAAAAGAAAGTAATATGATATATTATAAATTTTAGTTTAAGAAGATAAATAATTTTTTCTGCAATCAAATTGTGGAAATTTTCACATTTGCCTTCTTCATTTGTCAATATTTCGTAATGTTGGAGAATTTCATTTTAAAAAATTTCAAACACATTAATTTGTTTTGTTTTCTGCTCAGATATGTAATATACTTTATCAGAAGTCCATTACTAAGGGAAGTGTGCAAGCTGTGCTGTATAGTAAGGCGATCACAATGTCCCGTTTATCAGTGGGAAGCACCATAGGTGGTCCTCCCAAATCTCGTTTTATAACTATGGAATCATGGGTAAAAATATTACCATAAAACAGATTACTGCTAATTAATGTCCTTCAGTTTTTATACGACCGCAAAGTCGTATATTGGTATGACGTTGGTGTCGTCGTCTGGCGTCGTCGTCGTCGTCGTCCAAAGACACATTGGTTTTCCCACAATAACTTTAGTTTAAGTGAATGGATCTCTATGAAATTTTACCATAAGGTTCAATACCACAAAAGGAAGGTTGGGATTGATTTTGAAGTTATGGTACCAACAGTTAAGGAAAAAGGGGCCAAAAATAAATATTTTTGTAACTTTCAGACAATAACTTGTGTGTTAGTGTGTGGATCTCTCTGACACTGTACCACAAGGTTCCATATCTCAAAGGGAATGCTGGGATTGATTTTGGGGGTAATTGCTTCAAAATTTTAGGAATTAGGGGCCAAAAAAAGGGGCGAACAAGCATTTTTCTAGTTTCATGACAATAACTTGTGTGTAAGTGTATGGATCTTTCTGAAATTGTACTGCAAGGTTCCATATCACAAAGGGAAAGCTGGAATTGATTTTGGGGGTAATTGCCCAAAATGTTTAGGAATAAGGGGCCAAAAAGGGGCCATAAATAAGCATTTTTCTAGTTTCCGGACAATAACTTGTGTTCAAGTGTATGGATCTCTCTGAAATTGTACTGCAAGGTACCATACCACAAAGGGAAAGCTGGAATTGATTTTGGGGGTAATTGCCTCAAAATTTTAGGAATTGGGGGCCAAAAAGGGGCAAAAAAAACAAGCATTTTTCTAGTTTCAGGACAATAACTTGTGTGAATGTGTATGGATCTTTATGAAATTGTACTACAAGGTTCCATATCACAAAGGGAAAGCTGGGTATGAGTTTGGGGGTAATTGCCCTAAACGTTTAGGAATTTGGGGCAAAAAAACAAGCATTTTTACAGTTTCCAGACAATAACTTGTGTTCAAGTATATGGATCTCTCTGAAATTGCACTGCATGGTACCATACCACAAAGGGGAGGCTAGGAATGAGTTTGGGGGGGATGAATCATAAGGGGGTTCAAAAAATTGGGGGGGGATTTTTTTTTTCCTTTTTTTCCTTTTTTTTATTCTTTCAAATTTTCCATTTTGAGTTGGTTATTTTTTATTTATATATAAAAGCAAATAATAATGATATGGTTTAATTTCATCAAAAATTGAAATATTGGGGTTCTTTGATATGCTGAATCTAACCGTGTATGTATTTAGATTTTGGATATTGGACCATAATAGGTAAATTAAAAAATTTTAAGTTCTTAGACAACATTCATTCTGTGTCAGAAACCTATGCTGTGTCAAATATTTAATCACAATCCAAATTCAGAGCTGTATTAAGCTTGAATGTTGTGTCCATACTTGCCCCAACTGTTCAGGGTTCGACCTCTGCGGTCGTATCAAGCTGCGCCCAGTGGAGCATTTTATTATCGGTATGTGAAAATGAATAAAAACCAACAAAGATTCAAGTACACAGTGCAATACTTATTTAGATTTTTTACCAAAAATGAAAGACTACAGCAACTGAATGTAAAGTGGCTTCAAAGACAACATCAACCCAGACAAATAGAGTAAAATTTGAAGTGACAACGTACAGCTTCTGTTGCACTATTGGACAATAATTCCGTTCTTGATGAAAGTCAAAAACACAGTGGACATAAAAGTTAAATATCTGATTAAAATCATTTTTGTCACATCAATCGGGCGTTATTACCGGCAAAAATTAAGCACATGACTGATGATATTAAAACATGAAGGCTGCATAACTGTTTCTTTCTGCTCGCAGTTGATCATAGACATCAGTAATTTTAGAAACTATTATAAGTCTGACGTTGAATTTCCATGAAAACTTAAAAACAAAGAGTTTCTTTACTCAAAATTTACAATGTGTACCTCTTGTAAAACTTTATTAGATATATTAGATACATATTCATTTAAATCAGCCATTACAAACATCACCATCAGCTTTTAATTATCATATCCATGTTCTATCTTTCTATGCGACAGTGCGTTAATTAATTCGCAGGGTGCAATAGTGCATTAATTAATTTGCAGGGTGTTATACATAAATTATCTCTACCCAGAATGCATCGCAAAAAATTTGGCCATTGATTTTTGTTATTATTAATAGCAATCTCGCTCAAATCCCGTTTCAATCACAGTTGGAAGTATGGGGACAACGTGATCGCCTTACTATAAAGCGGGTTGCACACTTCCTCTAGTAATCATACTAATGGACTTCTGACTTTATATATAGTAAAAAGTATAATTGTTAGAAAATCGTTGATATTGTAATAATCATGATAGTTTGTATTGTTATCTTGTACCCATACAAAAGCTATGCAAGTGGTATTATATATTATATGCCTTGAACCTGTTTCCAATTCTTTCTTTTATTAGTATATTGGCCTGAAACTTAAAAAACTCCTTAGGAACCTGTCAACTTAAAATAGGACATATATGTCCTATTTTAAGTTGACAGGTTAATAAGGTATTTATGTCCTATTTTAAGTTGACAGGTTCCTAAAGTTTTTAGATTTCAGGTCAATATACGAATAAAAGATTGAATTGGAAACAGGTTTGAGGCAAAGGAAGCCTAGGTCATACGTTTAGTTCACAGTTCAATGTAAAGAGTCCAGTCAAGGTTTTATACTTTGCCATATATACCTTTTGATCAACTATTTAAAAAATCTTATTTTGTCAAAACAATCATTACAACCGCTATGGTATCTATACTGCCTGTGGGAAAATAGCTTCTTACTGAATAATTTTGTATATAGATTTATGTGAACTATTACCTTGGGTCAGTAAACATTCAATTGCTTTTGCATTTCGACAGATTACTAGGTTTGACATTCATTTATATTTACAAAATTTTAGACATGAACTTTTTTTGCTTAAATTTTCTCTTTATTGTACCAAGAAAAAATAGTCGCATCAAGTTCAACTTGTATTTGGTCCATTCATTTGTTAATATATTGTTAAAAACATTTGTTTATAGTTATACAAAAGCAGTTCTGGAGTAATATTTATTAAGTGGTTACTACTACTGGAAGTGTTTTACGACCTTGACTGGCTGTTCAGCCCTAGCACGGTCGGATTAAGTGGTTGGCGATTCTTTGGAATATTTATGCTGGTTAACATTTCAGAAAGGTTTATGAATATGCATACATTATTTTCTAGCCTACAGGACAGATGAAGGCAAACCATGGGTTTTACCTGTAGTCAAAACAGTGGAGGCTATGATGGCAGGGGATGCTGGTTTAAATCATGAATATTTACCTATATCTGGACTACCAGACTACAGAACAGCCTGTCAAAAATTACTATTAGGATCTGAATCACCAGCCATACAGAGTAGTAGGGTTAGTATATTATTTGAGGGAAAAAAATCAGTCAATCATATTGACCTTGCATGATTTGAAGTGTTTTTGTCTCGCCTGCGACTTAAGTCGCAGAATGCAAGACATAGGGATTACAATCCTGTGGCAGCAGCATAAGCTATTTGTATTAAGCTTTATATTCCAGAGGGTAGTAGTCCTGGAGGCTTCATACTTTGTATACATGTACAGATGATGTTACGAAGTTTCCGTATGTCCATTGTCCTTGACCTCATTTTCATGGTTCAGAGATTGCTTGAAAAAAATATTTAGTTATTTTGTTTTGTGAATTTCTTACTTATTTCATTATTATGAGTAATAGGATAACTATATTTGATATATGGGTTCCTTGCAAGGTCGGGTTGTTGTCTCTTTGACACATTCCCCGTTTCCATTCTCAATTTTATAGAACATGAAAATAAATTTGAAACAGATTTAATTTGATAAATTAAAAATGTACACCAATTGAAATATTAACAACTGTGAAGTACCAACCAAGCATAATTTTTTTAAACCTGTTTAGTGCACAATAATGTGTGGAGAACTCTTATAAGTGGTAAATGGAAACACTGACTTTAGACTAACTTCCATTCTTTCAGTAGAAATCATTATCACCACTAATGAGCCTCCTCATGGGGTTTTTATATGACCGCAAAAAAATTTGGCGGTCGTATATTGGTATGACGTTGGTGTCGTCGTCGTCCGAAGACACATTGGTTTTCGCACTCTAACTTTAGTTTAAGTGAATGGATCTCTATGAAATTTTACCATAAGGTTCAATAACACAAAAGGAAGGTTGGGATTGATTTTGGGGGTTATGGTACCAACAGTTAAGGAATTGGGGGCCAAAAAGGGGCCAAAAATAAGCATTTTTGTAACTTCCAGACATAACTTGTGTGTTAGTGTATGGATCTCTCTGATATTGTACCACAATGTTCCATATCACAAAGGGAAGGCTGGGATTGATTTTTGGGGTAATTGCCTCAAAATTGTAGGAATTAGGGGCCAAAAAAGGGGCAAAAAACAAGCATTTTTCTAGTTTCATGACAATAACTTGTGTGTAAGTGTATGGATCTTTATGAAATTGTACTACAAGGTTCCATATCACAAAGGGAAAGCTGGGTTTGAGTTTGGGGGTAATTGCCCTACACGTTTAGGAATTTGGGGCAAAAAAACAAGCATTTTTCTAGTTTCCAGACAATAACTATGTTCAAGTGTATGGATCTCTCTGAAATTGTACTACAAAGTACCATACCACAAAGGGAAGGCTGGGATTGAGTTTGGGGGTGATGAATCATAAGGGGTTCAAAAAATTGGGGGGGATTTTTTTTTCCTTTTTTTTTCTTTAAAATTTTCCATTTTAAATTGGTTATTTCTGATTTATATATAAAAGCAAATAATAATGATATGGTTTGAATAGGTAAATTAAAAATTTTTAAGTTCTTAGACCACATTCATTCTGTGTCAGAAACCTATGCTGTGTCAAATATTTAATCACAATCCAAATTCAGAGCTGTATCAAGCTTGAATGTTGTGTCCATACTTGCCCCAACTGTTCAGGGTTCGACCTCTAAGGTCGTATCAAGCTGTGCCCAGTGGAGCATTTTATTGATTATGTGATTACTTGTCCGTTTTTATAGTGATTATTTGATTACCAGACCAAATATTTCATGATTATTTGATAATCTAGGACTGTATTTTTTATTATTTAATTATCTTGTTTAAAAAATTAAAAAATAATTAATGATTATGTGATTATATTGGCAAAAAATTTGTGATTACTTGGACACCCCCATGAGAGGCCTCACTAATATCTCGATATTTGATTTACAGGTGGAGAGTTTTCAGGCATGTGGTGGAACAGGAGCTATAAGACTTGCTGCTGATTTCTTGAAAAGATTGATGAATTATGATTGTGTTTATGTATCCAAACCAACATGGGGTAGGTATTAAACAAGATGAATTAATAGGTAATTGACTTTGGGTATATTTACTTTGGAAGGATTTCTTAATTATAACTGTGTTTTTGCATCTTAACCAACAAGATGGAAGTACGTGTATTAAACACAATCAAGTTTTATGTATGTGAATCTGTGTATATATTACACAGGAGTGATTATAGTTTATAAGTTTGAGGGTCCTGATTCGTTAATATCAGATAGAGCTTCAAGACATTTCTGAATTATTCTTCACGTCCTTTATATAAAATTGATATGATTTTTATATTTGAAAAGGACAGTATTTTTAATAAGTATACCTTTACATCTGACCGTCAGTGTTTAAATTAGAATGAGTCAGTTCATGAACCATATCAGAAGTACTTGCCTGGCTGAATTTATTTTACTATTATCTATTTTACAGACAAATCTGACATATAATATGATTCATTTTCTATATTTAGACAAAATGAAAAGAATGATTTCAAAATTATGTTTTAGGTAATCATAAAACAATATTTAAGAGAAGTGGATTTTCTGATGTTAGAGAGTACAGATATTGGCATCCTGAAACAAAATCCCTGGATTTCCAAGGCATGCTAGAAGACTTGAATGTAAGACATTTTAAAAAACTTGAGTTCATTTTCTAATTTGCATCCTACCTTTTTGTATTTTTCCTTGGCTATTAATGTTTTTTTGGGGTTGTATGTTCTATCTTATTTATACATCTTTTTTCATATATTTGAAATGTGTATGATATGATATCCATGGGCTGCACATCACATATTCCTGGAATAACATATATGCAAGGCTCCATGTTGAAGGCCGTATTTTAACCTATAATGGTTTACTTTTACAAATTGTGACTTGGATGGAGAGTTGTCTCATTGGCACTCATACCACATCTTCTTATATCTATATATCAGGTAAGCTCGAAACAAACAGTATAGAAAGATAAAAATACAAAACCAGGAAGAGCACAAAACAGCCTAAACAGAACAGCCAAAACCATATTAGTATGAAAATAAGGAGATGTGGATATGATTGAAAATGAGACAACTATCCACCAAAGTTCAAATGAAGTGGATGTAAACAATTATAGGCAACCATACGGCCTTCAACAATGAGAAAAACCCATACCGTATAATTGGCTATCAAAGGCCCTGACATGAAAAATATGAAACAATTCAATTGAAAAAACTAACAGCCTAACCTGGGACAGTGGTGTAACAGCACAACATAAGAACAAACTGTAAAAATCAGTTGAAAAAGGTCTACTTGCCTGTTGGAGTTACAGCCTTAGCTTAGCACAATTAAGGGGACGTATTATGGTAAACCGTTGTCCGTACGTCCGTCTGTCATCTTCATGTCAGACAATAACTCAAAAACGCTTTAACCAATTTGCATGAAATTTTGGTGTTTTTCAATGTGTCAAACAGTTTTATGGGTTAAACAACACGTCCAAACCAGGTTGGACTGAATTTCAAATGGATTTTTTCCTCCAAGTACTGTTATATTGTTACTGTAACTTTGTGTTCATTTTCTTTCTGTTGGTTGCTTTTTGTGCTTTATAGTACCTATCTGATTAATCAATACTGGACCACTTTGTATTGTCATCAAATGATGATCTTTAACTAATTTTGAGTATGTTTGCCGTTTATCTTACAATTATTGTATATATATATATATAGATAAAGGATAGTAAAAAAAACACGAATATAAACCCAAGATGTCTCAATATTGCAAAAATACAATAAATATACTTTGTTAGATAATATCAATAAATACAAATAAGCAAATTTCTTTTGTAGAATGCACCAGAGAGATCTGTAGTAATACTACATGGTGTTGCACATAATCCTACTGGAGTGGACCCAACGAAAGATCAGTGGGTAGAGATAATCAAGACCTGTCAGGTAATTTTACATGTACTGTAAAAGGATTTGTTAATTCTAATTTATTTAAAAAAATATTGTTATTTTCATGGGTCTTGGAATTGCTTTGAAAATAATTTCTCATAAATATATTTTATTCAACCAAATGAACTTAAAATTAAATCTTTAGATTAGATGCAGACTAGGCCAAAGTCCACATTTTCCAAATAAATTGATATATTTTTACTCTCTGATAGGTAAGTTTACAAGCATACTTTTTCTATCTTGGCTGCAATAAAGCTCAGAACAGAGATGGTATACATGTACGTGACATTTCTGCTCAATTTTGTTAAATCATCAAATGAGTAAGTTTGGCAAGGATCATATTTGGCCCGAAATATTATGTCCATTGTTTGAAGATAAAAATGTTTCAAGTGGATGAAAAGAAACATAAGAATGTGAAAAGACTTTTTTGTGTAGCTTTTCTTATAAAGCTTTAAAATGTACAAACTAAATAGACCAAAAGTAGAGATTTGATGAAAATTGACAAAATCGTCTGGATTTCTACCAAATTTAGGCCTAGTAAACATAGAGCGTAGGCTTTGATAAACTAAATATTCAAATCAGATATGTAAAATGTTACAATAACAAATTTTTAAAACATCTTTCTTGTTGATGTGTGCTCTCTATGTTTGCATTCCAAAAAGCCAATGGAAATTTACTTGTTTTCTTTAATTAATATTAGTGGAAAATTAATATGTGTGCTATTTGTGACGTTATGAAAAGAGGGTTAATACGTAAATTTTCAACAAAAAAGGTTTATTTCCTACTTAGTCAATGTTTTAACTATGATTCATTGTAATATTGGTCAATAAATCCTAATATTAAATTTTAATTAGAAATAGGAGCCATTTTAGGGCCTTATCAAACCTACCCGTTTGTTTTTTCTTTTTCTTTTCTATATAATAATTACTCAACATGTCACTTTGATGACAGAAAAAGTGTGCATATGTTAGTCAAAACTGCCTTGGAACTCTCTAACCTGAACAATCATATAAAATATTATGCAGGTCTGGTTCAGTGTTATTCTATCTGGACCAAAAATCAAGGGAGTTTTCTGGCAATAATATAAACGGTACCAATTTTACTGCACCAGATGTGCATTTCGACAATTAATGTCTCTCTTCAGTGATGCTCGAGGCCAAAATATTTCAAAAACCAAAACTTAATACAAACGTTGAAGAGCTGATCAACCAAAAGAACCTAATGAATAGCCAAAATTGGACAAGGAATCAGAGCTTTGCATGAGGGAGATATATTCCTTAATTTGAATTAATTTCAAAAATTTTATAACAGTAAATTTCAATCAACACAATATCCGTATTTTCATGCCAGTACCGGATACTGAGCTGGTGATACCCACTGGGACTTATAGTCCACCAGCAGAGGTATCGACCCAGTGGTAGTACTAATATAAACGGTACCAACTTCACAGCACCAGATGCACATTTCGACAATTAATGTCTCTTTAGTGATGCTTGAGGCCAAAATTATATATTTGTTTTTATTTATCTTTGAATAATAGAATATCATTATGTGATCTTCTCATTTTATTTCAGGCTAAAAATATATTTATATTGGTAGACATTGCATACCAAGGTTTTGCTACAGGTGATCTTGACGCTGATGCTCATCTTCCAAGATACCTAGATAGAAATAATATTGAGTTTATGGCTGCGCAATCTTTCTCCAAGAATTTTGGACTATACAGTAAGTTTGGAAAAATGTTCTTTCTGGATTTTATATTGACCTAAAGAGAATATTATAAACAATTAAAAATAGTGTTAACTTAATGGTTTATTGAAAAAATTAGTTTCCTCATATTCTGACCAATACTTGGAATGATTCTTTTCCAAAACTTATCATTGGAATATTTGACGATTGACTGGTACTGGTAAAAGTGAGGGTAATAGTTAAATTGCTACTACCAGTAAATGAAAATAGCACTTTACTAATTTGGTGCTTCTGAAGAGCTTTCCCGGATTTACCTTCACCAGGCAATAACTTGAGTATAAGTGTTTGGATCTCTATGAAATTGTACCTTATGGCTATATCTGCTTAGGAATAAGGGACCTAAAAGGGGTTAAAAGCAAGCAATTTTTTTTTTAACTTTTTTGGAATAGCTTATTTCTGACCAATTTCAATGGGGTTTAGATAATCTTGAAATATTGGGGTTCTTTGATATATGCTTAAATGTACTGTGTAGTTAGAATTTTGATTTTTAACTGTGTTTTCAAGCGAGTCCAAATTAGGGTGCAAAATATAGTGGACCATAATAGGTAAAAGAATAATTTCAAATTTTTCAGTTCTTTGACCACATTCATTCTGTGTCAGAAACCTATGCTGTGTCAAATATTTAATCACAACCCAAATTCAGAGCTGTATCAAGCTTGAATGTAGTGTCCATACATGCCCCAACTGTTCAGGGTTCAGCCTCTGTAGTCGTATCGAGCTACACCCGCATTTTATTATGTTTTTATTTAAATATTAATGTTTATTATAGTAATAAGGTTATTTTTAAGGAGTTAATGATGTGATAAAGTGGCTGGCTCACTCACAAACTAAATTTATAAGACTTAACTTACAACATTGGATTTATTGTAATTTGTGAAATCAGAAATTATTACTGCCAGTGGCAAATATTTCATGTTTATATTTGACCAAATTTAATTTTGTGGTTTATTGATAATATTTTTGATAAAGTTATTCTAAAATTAAAACAGAAACAAATCTACTTTTCAAGGTTAAAATCTAGAAATAATCAATTTACTGATAATCTAAATAATAATAAAAAAGTTTGTTTTGCATGATGCATCATTTTTGTCTCGCCTTGACAGAGTCAAAAAGCGAGACATAGGTATGCTGTTTCCGGCGTCGGCGGCGGCGTCAACAATGTATTAGTTTGTGATTAGGTCTAGTTCATGGTGAACCACTAGTGGTAGGTCAATGATATTTGGTATGCAGTTGTATTAGCATTGCCACATCTCATTACCATGGAGATTATTTGGCCCCACCCCCTCAGTGAAGGTCTATTGAGTTTGAAACTTTGCTTCGTTTACATGTATTAGTTTGTGATTAGGTCAGTTTATGGGGAACCACTAGTGGTAGGTCAATGATATTTGGTATGCAGTTGTATAAGCATTGGCACATCTCATTTTCATGGAGATTTTTTGGCCCTGCCCCCTTATTCATGGTCTATTGACTTTGAAACTTTTGCTTCGTTTTCATGTATTAGTTTGTGGTTAGGTCAGTTCAAAGGAAACCGTTAGTAGTAGGTCAATGATAATTGGTATGCAGTTGTATTAGCATTAGCACATTTCATTTCCATGGAGAATATTTGGTCCCACCCCCTCAGTCATGGTCTATTGACTTTGAAACTTTTGCTTAGTTTACATGTATTTGTTTGTGATTAGATATGTTTAAGATGAACCGCGAATGTTAAGTCAATGATATTTGGTATGCAAATGTATTGGCATTTGAAAGTCTCGTTTCCATGGATTATATAGCCCCTAACCCTCATCATGGTTCATTGACTTTGAAACTTTTACATAGTTTACAAGTCAATGTTTGTCATGTTTGTGTTTAGGTTTGTTGAAAGGGAACGACTTATGATAAGTCTATGGTATTTGGTATACAGTTGTATTAGCATTAGCAATCTCATTTCCATGGAGATTGTTTTGCCATGTACCTTCAGTCATGGTTCATTGACTTTGAATATTTGCATAACTTACATGTTAAAGTATTGCTATTTTAATTTCAACATTTGCATTATCAAAAGTACAAAAAGGCGAGACATATCTCTGTGTTAACAGTTTATTAAACAATACTTCCCCTCCACATACCTGCCAACTTTCACGATCTAGGCATGTACTACATGATTTTGACCCCTTGTCACGATTGCACGATCGTGATTGTGAAAAAAGCTCTAAAACACGATTTGGTGAAAATCTACACGAAAAAAATGATTGTTCCCGATTTTGAACTGTGTCCAAGGGAAGACAATCGTGATCAGCCAATGAAAGTCTGTGTTTCTCATGATCAAATTAATAAGCCAATCAAAATCATTCTCTCTCATGATTATTTGAACATGCTAAATTTTGAACTTGTTTGGATTCCACTGTGTGTTTGTCAGAATTGTAAAATCGTGAATATCGCAGGTGAATTTTCATCTGCAAGAAGGTTCTTAAGAAGAAAAGCATGGCTGATTGACAAAATTCAATGATGCAGTACTACCATAAAAATAATAAATAGTAGCTTATTGGCATTACCCTTACTGTAACATATCATGCACTAGTGTTGTCATTCTTGTAATTAACATGGGAAATATTTTTTATCACTTGAAATGTACCCCTCATAAAAGGGATAGTCATTACATTGAGGGATTACCCCTCATTTGAGGGAATATTCCCAACCTGATTAAATTACCAAATAATTGAAAGTACTACATACTATTCTTTATTTTTCACAAGGACAAAATAAATGTCCTTCTTTGTGCATAATTTTAATTTGGTAAAAGTCAACAATTATTTTTAAAATAGTCTTACACATTCACAAGAAAATATATCCTGGTACATGTATTCTAGCTACATGTTCATTTTTTCTACTGATATAATTACTAGAATCATGCAAATAAAAAGAAGAAAAAGGCTTATAAGCTCATCATCAGTATACCATAAAAAAAAAAGATATGGCACTTTTTCTAGAGCACAAAACAGCACACGCAAAAAACGCCGCAAAGAATTGTAACCTTTGAAATTGTTGTCACACACTAAAACCACCATGAGGATTTTCAAAAGTTGGCAGGTATGCCTCCCTTTGAAATGACATGGCAGGGACAAACAATTTTCTGTATCATTAATCTTTTGGTTTGTAATTTTAGATGAAAGGACTGGAAATTTAGTGGTGGTGTGTGCTAATTCAGAGTTAAAAGCAAAGATTAGATCTCAGATGGAACTTATCATACGTACCACATGGTCTAATCCACCCAATCATGGAGCTAGAATTGTTACTACTGTTCTCAATAACCCTGCTAATTGTGCTGAATGGTAAGTACAGACACTTCTTAGCTTACAGTTGATTGTAAATATTTAAATACCAGGGGCTAATTCTGTGGTAGTATTTATACCCCTGCTTCAAAGGAAGGGGTACACTGATTTACCTTTGATAAGCTGTCTGTCCTTCAATATCACATTCCTTCACATTTTTCAAAGCAAATTGGAGCCTCTTGGTATTTTGTACCACGTTTTGTATTGGTAAGCTAAATGGTGTCACACATTTTCAATGTGTTATCCATTTACTTCCTATTTACTGCATACATGTATCTTTTTTCACATTTATGCAACTAATGTCAGGATTTTGATATGAAGTTCAACATTTTTTTTTGGGTAGCTATTCTGTTTTAAACATTTTCAGAACTATCACTTATCTGCTTCGTGTATTCTTCATACATTGGATTATCAATCTTGCTCAGAGGGAAAATTGTTTATACCATGTAAGAATATATTGCTCCTTTAATATGTAATTTTTCTGATACAATTTATTCTCACATATTTGAAGTTTTTCCTTGACTCTAAGCATTTTCCTAAGTGGAGTGCATAATAAAGGACAGCAATACACACAAAATTTCTTACAAGAGTGTTAGATTTCTCATTTTCAATTTTTGATGGGTATAACCTGGCCTAAAGGGTCATAGTATTAGGCATCCAGGTCTTCTACTGTCAGAAATATGAAGCCATATACAAAAAGTTAATATGCTGCCACAGGATTAACATCCCTATGTCTCATTTTCTGCGACTTTTAAAAGACAAAAACTGGGAAGGCTATCATGTGTATGATGCAGAAAATTGTAAATTCAGAAAATATTGCATACACAAAAATAAGAAGATGTGGTATGATTGCCAATGAGACAACTCTCCACCAGAAACCAAATGACATAGCATTTTTTGTTGCATAGTTATTCAACAGTTGAAAATACATTAAAACATTTTCAGGAAATACTGCATGCAAAGTAATGGGATCAGAATTTAACATGTGTGTCTTTATTAGTGGCTTACAAGTACCAAATCTGTCACATTTGTATCAAAAAATTAATATATGTCAAAAATATCTACAGTAATACTAACTCCTTTCTGGATTACTGTTTTTTTATTTGGCATTAATTTGTTTATCTTGTTATGTAGTGTATTCTATGCTTATAATCAGATAAATCTACTATTTGTAGGAAAGAACATATAAAGGAAATGGCAAGCAGAATAAAACAGATGAGGCAAATGCTACACGCTAAGTTGAAAGCATTAGGTACTCCAGGAAATTGGGATCACATCATTCAACAGATTGGAATGTTCAGCTTTACTGGTTTGTCACGTAAGTAGCATAACTATCGGTACTAGTGATGCACACTGATTAACTTAAAGTTTACTATATGACTCACTTTAACATATATATATATCATTGCATTGCTCACATCAATTACATTTCGTCATGGGTGGAAAGTTGTCTCATTTACAATAATACCACATTTTTTATATCGGAACTTAAAAAAAAGAATCTAAACAGTTCAACCCACAACCCTTAAAAAGCAGAAGAAAATGTTAAAAAATCCTATCTAAAATTCTGGAAAACTCCAGAATCATTTGCTACTAAACATACTGCTGAATAGGTTTTAGAGATTGGAAAGTGTGCATTAAAAAAAATAATTAGGTATAGATACAGGCTATTTTGAGCCTGTAGTTCTGATGTGAAATATTTGTGACCACTGATTTATGAAAATAAAAAAACTTCACGTAATTAAACAATAAGGTTTTATTTTGTATATAATTTATAATATATTGTTTTGCATTGTTGCCATTGTTTGGATAAGGTAATTTGAATATGCTCCAAACTGAATGTGTAATTGTGATTGTAATTTGTTTATTACAGCAAAACAAGTGGAGGTGATGATCAACAAATACCACATCTATTTACTGAAGGAAGGTGGCAGGATCAACATGTGTGCTCTTACTACGTCAAATATAGACTATGTAGCCAAAAGTATACATAGCGTTGTCACAGAAGCTAAATTATAAGGTTGAAAAGGACATGTTACCTGGAATACTGTCTGATCATTTGATAACCAACCCCCTTCCAAAGCATTTTAGTGGATATAGCTTTTTTTTTTATTGCATTTGAATAAAAATATTCAGAATTGATTATTGTTAAATATATACTGAACTCATGATTTTCACACTTGTATGTGTGATGAGTTCAGTTACTTTGAAATCCTGTTTGCATTATGATTAATATTCTGTGTACAGTAGAACATTTAATACTGGAATTTTATTGATAGCTTATTGTTTACAAGAAACAGGTTTATTTGATAATTTAATAAGGAATTGCCAACCATGCTAACCAAAAACTTTTGAGTTTGTAATCTAGAGATTTGTAGTAAAAAACGGATAATTTGTATTATTTCGTACTCTTCTTACACTGGTAGTGAACTAGGTTTAATAGAATTCAAATGAAATATGCATATTGCGGTTGTAAATCTTAACAATAGTGCTTCTGTAAACTGTTTTAAAGTTTTAAAATCATGTCTGAAAATTATTACTTTGTTCAAGATTATGTCTTTGCTAATCAGACTGTGATACATGTATATGAATTATATGTTTATATTTTAGATATTATTTGAATGAAATCTCTCACTTTTTTATTTTGACATGTTAGAGAAATATTACTATGAATAAATGTTTATCTGTCTCTGCTTGTTGCTTGCTTTTATCACTTTTGCTGCTTGTAATGATTGTAAGAAGAAAAAAATTTGCAAATATTTTACCAGCAATTCCTGTTCAATTCATAGTATAGATGTCAGTTGGGAGATTGTCTTATACTTTTTCTGGTTATTTAAATGAATTCATTCTGTCTCCTGTTTAAGATATTTTAGTACATCTGAATTCTGCATTTTCATGTGTATCCCCTGCCAATACCTTGCTTGCAATAAAGGGATGTAGTATTCAGCATATCTGTGAATGTGTCTGTAAGTTCTACAGTCCAATATTTTCATAAACTATGATTTACTGCAGTTGTATTGACTTTGGTTTCTGTATTTAGGGTGTCGAAGATGAGATTTAAGTTGGAGTCAAATTAGGTACTTCCTCTGTATACTTATATTAAAACAAAGATGGAGTCAAATGGGGATTTCCTTGTAAGCAGAAATATCTGCAATCCTTTTCCGCCTAAAACACTAAATTGATTTCTTGCGTTTGATAGGTATCTTTGCCTGATGTAATCGTGATTAGATCAACTGCTGTCAAAAGTCTTTACTTTTGGGACTATGTTGGGCTTTTGGACATTAGCAACTTCAATAACAGAAAACTCTGAAAAAGATTTGTTTGTCTGTCTTTGTAAATCAGAGTTTGGGACATATGGTAGAGCTGATGTCTGCCCATCTGTCAATGTTAGTGAACTCAGGCCTACAGTTCTCAAAGGATTTTGATAAAATTTATGTCAAAGGTTATAAACATAACGGTAGCAAGATCTTGGAACTAGTTCGAAAATAAGGGTCAATAGATTATTTTTGGAAAATAATATCTTAGGAATATATTAGCAAATCTTGTAAAACCCATATGTTCTTAATCTTTGGGAGGAGGGAATTTAGGAACCACAATTGTCTTTAGCTTCAGCATTATAATCTAGCTGATATGAAAATCTGTGCTTCAGGAATAATTGACCTTTAGGTCATGTATTTATCTTAGCAGATGCTGCATTATTGCATGTGCATTAGTGGCTGTTGTATTTATACATTTCAATAAAAGTAAGGTATGTATGTCTCAAATGATTGCACACATTCCTCTTCAGATTTTGACCCATAATCAAACTGACTTCTGGAAAATATAAGGGGTGTTGCATGCACATCTAGATATGCTAACCCTTATTGCATCTTCGTGAACTAATGGTTCTGGTTAAATATAGTATTTCTAGCACTTACACAAAGTGTATTTTGTTCCTTTGTCTTTACTTTTTACATATTAGATGTCTTGTAGCATTTGATATTTTCATTTTGTACTGTACAATGGGTGCTGATTGTTTATACCCCCAGTAAAGACGGATGGTTAGGCATCTTCTATGGTTTACCTGATTTATACGAAATGAAATTCAGAAATTGTTGCAATGTTTTTATTATTGCGAACAATGCGAAGGGGTTATAATCGCAATAATTTAAACTCACATTTTGAAATTTTTATATGAATTAAAAAGGATTTTTCTCAATATCACAAAAATTAAAATTGCATTTTAGTCTAAAATGACAAAATCGCAATAATAAATGCACCCAATAATTTCTGAATTTACAGTACTAAAGAAAACTCCATGCGTGGTATAGCTTACTATAAAGCACGAAGGATAAGCATGAAATTAATTGCGGTATGCAGGAAAAAAGATCACACTTTAATTCATGTTTGATTTATTTAAAAAAAAACTGTTCAAGACAAAAATAGTATTTATATTAAAAATTTTAACACATTATGTAATATTTGGAAATGAATAATATATCACAGATATATAGAAATAAACAACAAAACAGCACATGTATAATCAAATCTCTCCATAAAGGTCACTCAAGGGAGGACACATTAGGGACCTGTATGGAGAAGTTGTTGAAAATTACATAATGTAGGAAACACACAACTTTTCTTTTTTTTCAATTTGGAAAAGGGGAGTAGATAATATCAGCAATTGCCCTATTAATGGTTATCCCTAATGGAGCATGTTTGACCAGAAAAAAAAACCCTATAATAATCTTGGCAGCATCGTTTCTATGCATCATGTAGAATATTGAAAAAAAAAAAAATGATATGTACATGTATTTAGATTTCTGAAATAAAATTATTTCACAAGAATATAGTTGTAACTTATTTAATCTATTGCCATTTACAATGAACAAATATAATCTTTGGTATCAGTTTATATTGTCTAAAATGACTCCAGCACTGAGGACATAACTAACTTATACTTTATTTAAGTATCGGACCAATGGGACATACAGATAATGCATTTGTATTTGGGGAATGGAACCTATCTTACATTAAAGTTCTTTATATTTGGAGATAAGACGGTGAGTTAATTCAATATGATGAATGGAACTTGGAGATAAGACAGTGATTTATTCAATATGTTGAATGGAACCTATCTTACATAAGAGTTCTTTATATTTGGAGATAAGACGGTGAGTTTAATCAATATGATGAATGGAACCTATCTTACACAAGAGTTCTTTATATTTGGAGATAAGACGGTGAGTTTATTCAATATGTTGAATAGAACCTATCATATATAAGAGTTCATTATATTTGGAGATAAGACAGTGAGTTTAATCAATATGAAGAATGGAAAACTTACATAAGAGATCTTTATATTTGGAGATAAGACGGTGAGTTTATTCAATATGATGAATGGAACCTATCTTACATAAGAGTTCTTTATATTTGGAGATAAGACGGTGAGTTTATTCAATATGTTGAATAGATTATATAAGATTATCTCCCCATGGAAACTTATGACAACATATTGTAACTTCACATATTTTACTGAATTTTACATCTTTGAATTCTAACTGATATCTGACTCTTGTAAATATAGAACACTTTTTTAAAAGTAAAAGTATGAAAATTTAATTTCGACATTTTTATAGCAATTCAAAAACTACTACCTCTCACCTTTTGTAAAATGACAAATCACATATATTAACAGTATGTATAGAAATTGTAAGCAACACTTTCATAATATCAATGAAGTGCAATTCAAATCTTATAGGGTTAAAAATATTCTTTAACTTATCACTTTGCACTTTGATAACTTAACTGTTTCTTTTCAGCAGTTGGTTAAAATTTCTGAGGAGTTTGATTTGATCATAAAAATAGCAATTTGGTCAAAATTTTAAATGACTGCAATAGCTGGAGAGAAACACTTATGATCACGTCACAATAACAATATGAAAAAAAATCATAAATCAATAGAAACTTATGCTATCACATTACTGTAAATTCTAAAACTATTTATGTGAACATAATATCTAGAAATTCTCAAACTTAATACATATTTTGTTCACACTGACCAAGTTTTTTTTAAAGATGTTTGCTGGTCATGTCTGCCATCTTGCTTTAAGTATTTTAAGTCATTTGGCATTGACAATACAGTAGCATAGGAAAAAAAAACACTTTTCTTTTCACAAATGTATTTTAAACTATTCCAGTAAAAATCTAGTTAAATCCTAACAAGAAAAACTTATCTATACAAAATATATTAAGAAAAACCAAGAAAAATAGTTTCCCCAACAAATTCTGGCTTAATTTGATTTCTTATGCAAATGACGTTCAACATATGACAACTTCTTGTGAATCTTGTTATTCTAAGACTCACCATAAAAATTTATCAGTTTGTCCATGTCTATATTTGAACTATTATGAATGTTACTAAGCAATACATTTTATACAATACACATCTTTGCTATCCAAGGGTTACAATCCAGTCCCTTCCTCTCCACCCTTAGCGGATTAAGACAGAATTTTGGGTCCATGAAGTAATGTTTTTACATTGGTTGCAGTTGTAACTAGCTGCATCCAATCAAAAAGTGCATTTAAGATGCTCACATGTAATTGTAGAAAATGTAAATAAACAATTGCCACGTGCTGATTGTGCAATAAGTCTTTACCCCCAAAACATAAGACGATATTTAGTGACAACTTTAAAGTTCTTAATCAACTAATTGAAGTTCCTGGGTATGTTGGAATGACAACATATTTTTTTTTGGTCATGCTTCACGAAGTTTGTAAATACAAGACACAACCATTTTTACACCTCCACACTGAAGAGAGTTCAATTGCTGCCACTGGTCAAGAATGATGTAGTCGGAATGGGCGTGACTTTTATCTACCTGTAGATGATGCAGCATTGTTATCCAAAATGTTTGCTTAATCTGCCAAGGGTGGAGTGGAGGAGACTGGATTGTAACCCTTGGCTAGCAAAGATGTACAATACACTGATTAAGCAAAATTAATACAAACAAATGATGTCCATTTCAACAGTTTGGGAAAATTTCATGAATTTAAAAACTGATTGAATAATATCAACTGCAGATTTTCAAGCACCTTTCATTTATATATATACATTTTGTATTTATATGAATATTGCATAATAATAAATGAATAAATATGAACTGCCTTGAAAATAATAAGAAAACTTTATTCATAGTAGGGACAAATTATGGCTGAATTATTTATAAAAGATAAGGCACGGAATGATCTTGTATACATCAATCGGAATGTTTTCAACATTATAAATTGAACATAAGTTACCGGTATGTTATTTAACAAATTTTCCTGAGTCACTAAGATATATTGGACATAAATACATTATCTTTAAAACTTCACTTCAATTAATTCAGTACATATGTATATTAATGAAGATTATACACAACCAAAAAATTAGGTGTTGAAAACCTTGATAAAGGTTTAAAGTTCAGGAATTTATGCTGAACCATTCATCTTTGAGAAGTTGTCTTCATATCAATTCCTTTTGATTAACTCAAAATTTATCATAATATACTTTAAAGAAATTTGAACTTAGAAATATGGATGAACTATGTTATTTTTTTTATTAACAAAATTGGAAAATCACATAAAAATTAGTTTTCATACACATTTTGATGAAATTAAAGGTGCCAACATACAAACAACAACAAAAATGTTTTTGCAAGTTACTAATCTTGTGATTCAGATGTAGCAATAATAATTTTCAAAAATAGTTTACCAATTGAAGAATAGATTAATGTGTTTGAAATTGCAAATTTACAAATGCTAGTGTCAGAATTACATCACAAATGTTTTTCTATACAAAATTTTCAGTATAAGACATATATTGAAAAATTCATTTGAAATCAAAATGTCTGCCAAACACTATACGTCATGACATTAGTTCTATACTGAATCCATTTAATGCCATTCTAGAAAATGTGTTAAATTTTCATTCCATTAGAATATTAAATCATGTCTAAAATAATAACATTTTATTCCCTTTCATATATTGCAACATAGGACTTTTTTTTTAAATTTCTAATCTAACAAATATGACAAATCAACTTACAGAAATTACATATATTAAAATCCAAGAGTTGCAGAGATATTAAAGATACTTGTTATTATCTAAATCTTTAACAAAAAATATTAAAATACTCGGCAACAAAAAGTTAATAATTATACAAAATATTATCAGATTTCAATCTTGAATACTAAAAACATTTTTTTGCAAAACATAGTTTAAAAATGAGATCAAAAACATTTCATATCTGATATAAATGAATATATTGTTTTATTTTAAAAATCCAAAGTATCAATACATTTAAACATGATTGTCTCATAAAGATCATAAAATACAAAAGTGTCAACCTCTCAAGCCTTTATATTGGGAAATCTTTCATAAAAATTCTCACTGGGAGATAGGATGTAGAGCCAGTTTTCCATTACTATACTTAAACAATTCTTTTAAATAGGCATTCAATTGATACTGACCTTTAAGACTTAATAATAAAAAATTACATTTCAAATAGCAATAACTGTATTGTAAATAATTTAGCTTAAACAGCTATGTATTAGTCATAAAAAGGTGGATGGGAGAAAATAGGAAGTTTCCCTTCAAAAGAGAGATGTGAGCTCTTCTTTGGACAATGGTCAGGATGACAAACATTGTTTTTTTTTTTAAATTCTGGGGTGTTGACACTTATAAATGTATCTGATGGAAATAAAAATTAAATATGATCAGATTCTCAAATAAAACTAACTTATTTCACAAGAAGTGTGATCTTCTAAATCTGCTTTAAGTTTCCTCAGTACAGAGGCTGATTGGTTCTGGAGAAAAACTTTGGCACAGGAATCAAACTTTCTACGACTATAAATTATATGCAGTAAATAATTTGAAGAAACATGACTTTGGAAACATTGGTCCACTAAAATATCTAACTCAGATGGAGGTTCATGGTTTCCTGCATTGTGGAGAGTTGCCATGGTAGCAATGTAGTAAAAATGACTATCACAGTTTTCAAAAACCGGGCCATCACTCTCATTGAATAATGTACTGAAAGACATTGGTGTATCACAGGATATTTGAAAGACAGGTTTATTAAAACTTCTGTTTGCCTGTTTGGCCTGTCTTGGTAGCTGCACAGGTGACACTATAGTTTTGCCATGTACCCTATATTGAGTTTTGGGATATGTATCAGTTGGTGTTGCATCACTATCAGTTGAGTGATTATCTCCCTTTCTGTTATTCTGTTCATTTTCCATGATGCTCAATTGAGGATAATTTGTTGCATCAAGGCTTGTATCAAGGTCCATTCTATTATCTACAAATATATAGAAGTAAAATATAAATTGTATGCTGTAACCAGAAAATCTTCTAGTTTGCTATTAACAAAAATTCACCCAGTAGAAGAAACTCTCAAAGGCTGAAAGACTACAGCAGATGATATAAATTATTTTTTTTGGAAAAGGGAATTCTATCAATCAATTCTGCTTAAGAAAAGTTTATAATAATGAAAATATTTTCTGTTTACAGAATATTCACTGCATATTCTAAAGAAGGATGTTCTCAGCAGGTTATCATGTTTTAACCTCATTTCATTTAATGAATATTTAAAAATTACAGTTACTTAAATTTTATGACTAGTATGTCATATAAGCTGATTCTTATTTAAACTCAAGGCTATAGCTTGACATATGGTAGAGACACCTGTCTATTCATGAAAACCATATGTTTCATAGAAGTATACCCATTTTTCCCCTTTTTCACATTAAGTAGATCATTTTAACTTGTCATAGTTTGTACAGACTGTCTTCCACAGAAACTATATGATATTTATGACTGATTGAGAATTGTTTGCTTAATGTCAAGTGGCAAATATTTCAATCATTTTCAAAACAGATTTTTTTTTACTAAAACAGTAGGTTTTTCAAAGTGTGTTGAATAGGACGAAGGGCAAACATTTTGTGCTCACTCCAAAAAGGGTATGACAAGTCAGGACTGTAGGTCACAAATTTGTCACAAGCATTTTTTTAGATGATGGCATGACATTTTTATTGTGTGTGTGAAACAAGGGACACCTAGGCCTATATGTTTAAGACTAAACACACAATGATATATTGAAGATTCATATACCTTGATCATGCTCATCATAAATTTCTGCATCAACTATCAAGTTACTTTCCAAAAATATTCTGCCCATTAATGTTGCTATTTCTTTTGTTATAAGAATATAATCTGTTGGCAAATCTGGAAATAAAATATATAACAACTAAGCAAATATGAATTTCTGTCCATCATTCTATTAAACTGTTCCTAACCTTTCTAAGAATTGAGAAAGGCTTAAAAGTCTATGAAACATTGAGGCTTATTTCTCATATCCCATTTTAAAAGATAATAAGTGTCTCCTATGTAACAAAATATGATCGATATTAGTAGGGAAAACCAAAAATAACATCTGAGGATTTTGTTACTTTGACATTGTTTGTGATTATAACATTAATTTCAGGAGTTGAAAGACATTTTTTTCTAATTTTAAAGCTAGTTAAAAATGTGCTTTCCATCCTCACTAGACCACACTAGGACTGGACCAAGGCATGCAATGGTAGGCATAAATATTCAACCAGTCTACCTTGTTTTTAAGTTTTGTTTTTTCTTAAAGAAGGAAACATTGTTGAAGGCCGTACAGTGGCTTATAATTGCTTACATCAACTTCATTTGAACTCTGGAGGATAGTTGTCTAATTGGAAATCATACCGCTTCTTATTTTTATACTGATAAAGCAAGCTTTTATACTCCACATGCCAAGATCAATGTGAATGACATTTAACAACCAACACTCAATCTTTTATTGACTGATGAAAATTTATGTTATTTTTTGGTCAAAATCTGTTATGATGTGATATTAAAAAGAAAAAGTATTTTATATAATTGTAGATGATGATTTATAGTCTCTCATAACTCTTTTTAGAGTGGCTCTTGTTGATTTAAATGATATTGTGATATTATCAATATGTGTTTGAATATATGTCAATATTGAGGTGAGACTTTAATAATATTTTTGTTTGGTCTTGTCTTGTCTTGTCCATGAATAAATAAAAAGTCTCTGCCCCTAAAAAAGTTTGCGTTTATTTCTGATATAAACAAAAGTAATAAAATAATATCCACAATATCTTTTTTTCCACCATTTTTAAAATCAAAACAGCTTCCAACAAGAAGTATAAAAATGCACTTTTTAGCCAACAAGCCAATAGTCTTGTGATAATTTTTCAGGTCTCCATCCCCATCCCCAAAAATATCAAACAAAATACAAAAAAACAAACAAAACCCATGGTTATCCAATAATGATAAGTAAACTTATCCAAGGTTTCGAAAAAACACCTAAATATTCATTCAAAGTAAGGTATTAAAGAAGAAATAAACCCTCTATCTAATCAACAACAGCACATATGGAGAGACAAATGGGTCAAAACATACCCTTGATATTTCAATTAAAAATATTTCACCTAGTTTAAAATTACTAATTAATAATTTATACCCCACAGCCAAAAAAACAGATGGCTGAGAAAATATCAGACCTCTGTTTGACTTACCTAATTGTCGACTGAGCGGTTTAATCAAGTCATGGTTCTCCATTATCCACTTAACAAACTCCGATCCACTGAAACATTTTCTATACTTGAGTAAATCTTCTCTCAGCTTGTGAAGTATCAAGTGTAATGTAAAATTTGTACACTCGTCATTGTTGTACTGATAAAAATTAGGGAAGAAAAAAACATCTGAATTACAAGTGAAACAAAAGTAAACCATACATTATTACAGCAAACAACCTTATACATTTCCTTTCAACTGATCATGTGTTTTTATATAAAAAAAGAGCAATTTTTCTAAAGAATGTGTAAAATTTATCTGTAATGTTACTTGATTTTTCTGGTATATGACTTGTTAGTTTGATTTCTACAGCAATTAATTCCTTACATAGCTTTTACTAAAATCAGAATATATCACCAGTTGCAACAAAATATGAAAAAGGTTTAAGCTATGAAGCATTTCCTCTGTAGCATCGTTGGAATATACTGTCATAGTATTAGGAATATCATTATGTGCCAAATAAATTGTTTTGCTTTTTTGTACTTTAATAAGTATGCATTATGATCCCAACATCAGTTCTTCTAACTTATCTGTATCCAATTATTTGCTTCTAATAGTGATTGCTGATTATCAAAGAATGAAACTACATTGTATCTGCATTTGAGATATAAAACAGATATAAAATTTACTGAAATTTAATAAATACTGATGCATTCAACCCCCCCCCCCCCCCCATTTTCCCCTGATGTTTTTGCACAGCATTTTATCAGGTAGTTATTTAATCTTTTTACAATAATATGATAAATTGTCTGTTATGATGTTTTTATAGCTTGGCCAATAAATTAGTACTTAACAGTATTTATTCCTAATTATCTGTCTCAGATTTATGTATGAATAAAAAGAAATGCAAGTTATTTGTCAATATAACAAAACTTTTTTTTTTTAAACCTCCAGAGGGGCCTCTATGGCCAAGTGGTCTAAGTAGTCGAACTACTATATCACTAGCCTGTCAACACTGAGGTTGTGAGTTCAAATCCCGCACGTGGCAGGTGCCTTCAACTCCAATCTTAATTGACTAGGCTTGTCAGTTTAAGAAGGTCAATGGTTCTCTCGAGGGACTCTGGCTTCATCCACCAAAACATACTGACTACCACGAAATATCACAATAGTGCTGAAAGTGGCGTTAAACACCAATCAATAGATCAATTAATTTAAACCTCCATTGGTCTGCTTAGTCTGCTAAGTAATTTTTCAACTTCATGACATGATAAAATATAGCAGTAACTGATTCTCAATATTAAGGACCTGACAATACAGGATAGTCATCTATAAATAACCATTTCTTATTTTAGTAAAACACCAAATTCCAAGTTTAAAAATCTGTCAATCCTGATTTCAAGCCATTGATTTCTATTGTTTTCACTTCTACAAACATTAATCTGACACTGTCGGATAATGGTTAACATTCCCTTTATAGTCATCACTAAAATAATAAAAGGAATATTACTTACATAATCAATGACATGTCTATACAGAGTAATCAGCTGATTGGTAGCTGTAGCACAAAGTTGTAACCTGAACATTACATTTTCCTGAAAGAGTTCAAAAGTCAATAATTATCAATATTGTTAAACCATATAAAACACATTATCGGTACTTTCCTTCGGAAGTTTGTGCTTTGCTCTGGGAAACCTGGAAAATATTTAGAAATAAAATAGGAGTTGCATAATTTCAAAGGTACAGAGGTTTCTGTGTTTATATTCAATCAACTAGTTTAGGAACAGACATGTCTTTTAAGTTACTGTAATTTCAGAAATATTTGCGAGGTTTTTATTATTGCAAATAATGCGACTGGTTGAGTATCCCAATAAAAAGAACTCCTTGGTTGCCCTGCCTTGACATAAACCAGTACCATTTCTTAGCAAGGTAATCATGATTGCTATGTTGTAGCAAAATGTCCCCGGTTTCATTGTAACTGTCCAATAGAAAAATCTTAACAACAGACTTTAATGGTGGCAGAGGGTGATGAAACAGTAATATATTTTAGGAAAACACTGAATGATATTGAAGTGTTACTTAAAAATCATTCATAAGGTGCTTGCATGAAATTATAGCCAAATTTAGCAAAAAGTTTGTATGACTCCTGCAAAAATCATTCATGACACCCTGATTTTCCTCTTCCCTGATTCAGATTTGATTTTTCTATTCCCTGATTCAGAAAAATCAAGAGGATATAATCAGCCAAATAGTTAACTTACAGCTTCAGTTAGAAGTTGTGATAACCAGTGTATGTAATGTGCGAATCCTAAAATGTCATTTTTACTGTATCCGTGATGAATTTCTGATGTAGAATGATAAATAAACAGACGACAAATTCAAGATTTTTGAATAAAATAAGAAATAATATATAATGTGTACTGCTTTTATATAAATTCATGATATAGGTATGAGATAACAGGTTTTCATCGCGCCTACAGCCATCCAGGTGCAAAATTGATACACAAATAGATAAATATTAAGAATAGTTCACGAACAGAGCGTGCAAGAGATTTAAAAGTAGCAGTTAAGTTTCATTTGCAGAAAAATGTACCTTTTAAAATAATTATTAATGTTGTTTAACTTAAAACAGGTTTTGTTATTCAGCTTGTTGATATTGAATCAAATTCCACTATGCTGTTTTCATTATGGGATTCATGTTTACTGTCGAATAATGATACTAGACTTTCATTTTCACTGTAGGGCGATTCATTTCTATTGTATATGCGATGCATTTTCACAGAAGGAAATTAATTAATGTTCATTATATAAAGTCTTAATTCAGCCGACTCTCTAACAAAATTTATGAAGTCAGAAGGATTGATTATATATGCATACTTAGTGAGTGAAAGTCTGAGGTAATATATCAATAAATTCCTTAAACATGGTATTTATTGCTAATATAGTCAATTCTATTTTCTCAAATAATTTGTCCTGATCTATATGTGGGATAAAATTTATTCTTTCCTATGACACGTCGTCATTAAATACATATATCTTGGACAGTTAAGCCAATCTACGTCACTGGAAAAGCAAAGTTTCTGTTTCGGTCTAAATCTACATCGCATACTAATAAATTAAACGTCATTAGAGCTAATTTCCTAATGCTTGTAATTAAAAGGTGTTGTTGGCCTTGATTGTGTAAATGTTGCCTAAGCATTGTAATTAGGATTGAGCAAACGTTTATACAAACAAACAAAGCAAGCAAGCCAACCAAACCTTTAAACTACAAGCGTTAGGAAAATAGCTTTAATGGATGCATTTGAGATAACAAAGAACATTCACAAAACGATCTTCATTCCACGATTGAATGAGTGGAAACGTTTTCATCTTGCACAAACAATTGACGCTTGGATGACTGGATAATTGATATTTATCATGCCATTGTGTATAAATCTTATACAGTAAAGAAAGTTCGAGCAACAGTCGTGTCACCTTAAATATGCTTGAATTCTTATAAGTCGGTGTTACAAATAAGCCAATACGCAATTGTGAGAATACAAAGAAATATTGAAAACAGTTTATTGTTACATGTTTAAATGGTTCTATACCACGGGGTATAACCGCCATACAGTTGATTCCAGACGTTAATCGCTACATCGCAAAGCAATGTTGGTAGATATACCGTTCTTATATTTACACCAAAGACTAATTGACTAACTGTTCAGTCAAGTATTCAATGTTTATGAAAACAAAGTTTACTACTCCTGGCAGCATTGTATATCATTTATATTACATGAACACCATGTGACTATTTGAAATAGACAGGTCTGTGAATTACTTGTAAACATCGCGAAACAAACACTATGTGTAACTCAAACTTGATTAAACTACAAATAGAGCATAGTTGGTTGGCTCTTTCACTAAATGTGACTGTGTATTTTGTGCTTTGTTGTTGTTAAAATGCATAATACGAATGAGAAACCCGTTGTTTTAATTTTATTTGAAGACATTTACTTGAAAAACTGACCTCAGAATTTTGACACTGTACGATTCATTCTCTTTGTAGTTTGTTTTCTTTCTTTAGTACCGTTCGTTGTACATTCTTGTACTGTTCATTGTGCAAAAGCCTATCAATACTTTAGAAATATGTATGACACAGCGTGACAAATGTTCAAAGCTTTTTTAAGCGAGTTATAAAACTTTTTAAAGAAAATTCGCCGTAGAAAAACGTTATATTCATGGATGTTCTGCTCCAGTAAATTTAGGGATCCATGACAAGCTAATAGCAAACTCACCAACAATATTTGAATATTCATGATATGAACGTGGTTATACCCGTGTATATTCAAGTAAGCATCTATGACTAGCTTGCATTTCAATTTGTAAATATCATCAATATTAAAGTCATTTAAAAACTATTTTCAGTTGTTGTATGTCGAATAATCATATAAAACGACAATGAAAATTCATGGCACTTCCAAAAATTCCACATCAGAAATGATTGCACTTACAGTGATAATTCATCGCATCTATAGTTAAAATGAAAATCGCATTCAGTAATCAATATTATGGATTCTGCTGCTTAAATAACACTTTTTTTTACTTTAAGCCTGTTACTATACATTAAAAAGTTATATTCTACTGAAATTCTGTTAAAACATACATTCAAATCTATTATTTTGTATTTCCAAAAAGTAAAGCAAAGCAGTTTTTCCCATCATCCTTTATTCTACAATAGACATACTAGCATGCAACAGTGAAAATGAACTAACTGGATTCGCACTTTATATACACTGATAACCTGATGGTTCTCTTCCCTGATTTTTAAAATTGAAGGGAGATAATCAGCCAAATAGTTAAACTTACAGCTTCAGGTAAAAGCAGTGATACCCTGATGGTTCTGTTCTGTTCTGTCATAAACTTCATTAAATGCTGAAAAAACAAATATCTTAATACTTTTAAATTTGAGTTAAATTATTATAACAAGGCTGCAAATTAGTTTTCACATTTACAATAAAAGGAAATTTTCTATTTTCACGCTGATCAAATTAAATTCAAATTTGACAGTTAACAAAACTGTCTTAAAAATACATTAAAATGTTTCAATACATATATATTGACAATTTTATTGTATTTACTCATAGTTCTGAGGAAAGCATTTCACCAATGAAATATTGAAACCAACTACTTAAATACACTAACCAGGGGATATCTATCAGTGAAATGCAAAATGATACATTCAGAGCACTATGAAAACTTCTCCTATACAACTAACACTTTAAACAAGGTGAAAAAAATATTTTCCTCATTTTCATATAACTCACAACGATTAAAACCATTCATAAGTATTCAGTAGTTTTTTTTATTATGTTTACCTTAAATTAATGGGATACTGTTTTAGTCTGTTAAGTATATGTTTTCCCATATTCTTTCATTCTTATTCATAAAATACCAATGTAAAATCAAAGAAGATAACCTTTTTCCATTTTTATTGGTTATAACATACCGTAAAGGCTTGTATCAAGAGCTGAGCATATTCAACAGAACCATGATCTCCTCTCAGTACCTCAAACACTTGTTTTTCAAAATTCTGGAATAAAGAAGATGATATGATTAACAAAAAGAGGTAGTTTCAGTGGATAAAAGAAAGCGGTCAACCCAAATATTTACTGATAATTTTTAATTGAAATAGTGTCATACTGAAATTGATTTTTTAAGAAGGAAAACTTTTGGCCAACTAATCTAAATAAGTGCATAATTTAAAATTGACAAAGTTTCAAGAAACTCATAATGATTGGAAAACTATAATATTTTTGACAAGGTAATGCTTAGCAATTTGATAAAAAACTAGAATTACTGTGAGCAAAGATCACAAAATGGTACCCCACCCCTTGCAAAGTCCATGATTTGCTAAGGTAAATCCCCAAAAAAACAAAATACAAAACAGGACCATAGTAATACATAATATATATAGTGACAATTCTGATAAAGCTTCAATTTAGGAGAAGTTGCTGATATTCCTACAGATGAAAGAATGGACAGACAGATGAAGGATCCAACCAATGGATGGACTCATCACTAAATACTGCTTACTTCAAAAAGCAGGGGTATAATAAAATGCCATCAAATTTTATTTTTTTCTGTATTTACTCAAAGTGCACTGCACTTCATAATAAAATCCTGGATGGGCACAAATAAAAACATTATGTAGAAAAAAATTAAATCTTTCCCAAATTTAAAGATAAATTGATAAAAAATAAATATTTTCTTATTCATTTCAACATCTTCCTCATTTTGTAAAATTCTAATATAAAAGCAAGATGTAGAATGAACTAATTTATTTTTATCCTGCAATCAGCCAACTATTATACAAATAACAGGTACCCAAATAAATTTTTGCTTTATTTGTACTTGTACAAATAAAGTCTCCTGTTACCCCTCTTCCATGTTGAGCAAACGGTAATGTGGATATTTCTTTTTGCGTACCAGTTCATTTTGGGGTCCTCTTCGCGGTCCGCGTTTAAACTATGTCGATTTCTTTGAAAAATTAGAGACAATGATGTAGATTTTAACCACCAAAATATCAAGTGTTGGGTGTAAATTTCAGGATAAAAACAATATATGTACATTGTCGGAAAATATATAATTTATTTGTACTTACTGCAAAACAGGAGAAAAGCTCGGCAAGCCTCGCTTTTCGTCCTGTTTCTAAAGCTCATACAAATAAATTTTATATTTTCCGACAATGTACATATATTGTATATTTATTTGTGTGATTTTTTTTTGTGTTTGACTTACCCTGACTATAAAGATCCAAAGAAATTCCATGACTCGTCTGTAACAGCTTCTGTATAACCACTCTTGTAATGAGTTAATGTAAGACTGTAAGAACTGTGTTAATGGTAATAGGCATACTTCTACTGGTACCAAGAGCCTCTTCAGGGTTAATAGTACAGTCACTGCATCATTCACAAACAAATTTATCTATAAAGTTAAAAACATGAACAAATATTACCAGGATATGTTTTCAACTATTCAAGAATAATAATAGAGCTTCTATTCTATAAGGATATTATTTTATTTAAAAATGCTTATTTGCATTGTTTTTACTAGCCTTTTGAATAATAGAACAAATTAATTCTTTCTTTCTTTTGTTTGTCATATCATTACAATGATTAAACCATACTAAAAAAATTACCCTGTATGCCATAATTCGACACAATACACTAACTACATGCGATATATGACAGAAATCTGCTGGATTCTGGGACGTCTGGTCCTGCCAATCATCACTATCTATTTAAAAAATTAAAAAATTGCCAAATATCATTCATTATAATTTAAGATACAGTTCATATTCTACATTCCTTTAATCTGCAAATCTGAATCTGCTGAGATTTCAATGAATAATATAATCTATTAATGGTGTTTTAGCTAAAATGTTAAAACTATGGGAAAAGACAAAGCATTCACATAAAATTCTTGGACTATAAAAATTTCAAACATAGAACTATAACTATGACTGTTTTGTCTAGCATACTAACAACTTTACAGATTTAGAAATTATTTTCATCAACTTTTTCCTTTTCTACTTTGTTAGAAAAATCCTTTTCAGCTGATAAAGATGGAATAAATATCTTGGATTTTTCTGCTTTTTACGAAAACTGCTTTTATAAAAGGTCAATGTCATACAAAAATAGTAACAGTTACTGGGCTTTATCAATTGTTTATTAGTCTATTAATTTTGATTTTTTTACAATTCTGGGCTACATTACCAATGTTGCTTTTTTTTTATTTCCACAAATGGCCTGATATTAAACCTTGTTCTTTGCTTGTATTTTAAAAAAATCTTTTTTCTTTAAGGTAGGACAATACAAAAGCAACTAAATTTTATCAAAATTTAATTTTAAGCTGTTTTTGTTACTTCTTAATATTTCAAAACCACAGAAGAAAAATTTATTTACATATATACTCTTGCACTGTTAATGAGTTTGGATGATAATTAGTTTTATAAACAAATGCAGGTGTCTTACTGATACAAGATAGGAACATGTGGGCAGTACTTTGTGGTTAATCAATAGAATCATTTGATAGCCTTATGACCACTGACCAGCAATAAAAATAACAGTTATGAAAAAGAGGTGGATTATGGATTTATGGAAAAATGAAGATAATGAATTTCAAATAAAAATACATTTCTATATTGGAGCTGCCAGGAGAAAAAAACAAAACTACTATTTGGAGATATAGAGGGAATCAAAATATAAATGTACAGATATTAAACAAATAAAATTGTACAACAATTAATGTTACTGATGTTTATACTAGAATTTCTTGAGGAGAATGTTTAAATATGAATTCTTTTTAAAAGAAAATACAAATTAAATATTTCATTTTCAAACTGCAAAAATGAAAAAAAATCTACTTTTTTTTTTGTGTAAAACACCATATTGCCATTGTATACAATTATAATTCTAGAAATCACCCCATAAGGATCATCTAGACTGACCAACTGATCATTTTGTGTACAAATGCATATCTTACTTTTTGTAACAATGCAAAAAACAAAATATATTATTTTATGTACTGAAAGAATAAAATCCATATTGAAAAAGTAAATGCAATGTGTAATTAAACTTCTGAGATCATTAATAGTAAAGGTTTATCATGGTTGGCGGAGTTTTGACCATATCAGTAGCAACTGACTTACAGCAAGGTCAATGATGATATAACATCTCCTGCCAGATCTGATTTTTGATGCATAGGGTGTGCATTTTCTTTATGTATTTAGAATTGCTGAAATGGAATGCTTTCTTACTGGTCAAAACCTAATTGATTTATGATTAAAGGCCAATCCTGAAGTATTCCCATAGACTCACACATGTACCATGGCCCATGTGTGAATTATATTGAAGTTAATGGGGTACAAGTAGGAAAATCCTTATCTTTTCAATTGTGACACATTCATTTTTATCATGAAAATGAAGATTTAAATGAAATTAGCTCCTAGATGGGTGCCCTTTTATAACTGATTTTCACACATGTTGTTCCTTGACCAGTTATCTTCAAAACAGTGTCTCAGATTTCCAAAAACATCAATAGAACAAATTTTATACCCAATCAAATTTAGTGATCTCTTATGAATTGAGGTTGCAAACTTCATTGAAGGTTTATGAGAGAATGAAATACAATAGGATAAATCTGAGACACCCTTTTTGAGGTCAAACTGTGTTGTACAAGAATCTATAAAATATTTTGGTTTGGTATGAATAACAAAGAAGCTAATTTCATTCAAGTGTAAACATCACAATATAGCAACTAATTACATAATAATAAATTATGTAATAATTATGTCATAATGAAATTATCACCATTTGAAAGATTAATCTAAAAATGTGCGCACGGTCAACGCTTTTACAACCCTATAAATTACTAAAAGAAGCATTCAATACTTATAATTACATTTTTTTGCTAGGATCATGAAAACACGATTTCTATCAAGTTTTTCTTTTATTTACCTGTGCACTTTATTGTGGAAGCTCGTGTCATCATGAATGTTACATTTCATTTTGAAATGAAGGTTAATTTCAGAATGATGCGAGGTTGCTGTTAGCCAATCAAAATAACGTATTATAATGAAACATATATGTAATGTAATTATTAACAAATAGACTATTATTGAACTCCTTGAAGTACAGGCTAATTGAAGTATTCATACATTTCTAATGAGTTGTTTATTTATTTTTTTTATAGCATAATACACCATGAGCGCATGATACACCAGTCGCTTTTTCAACAAATAAAGTTCCATAACTCCTCAATGTCATATCAGAAATTTATAAAAACCCAAAGGGAGGTTATTTTAATAGATATAAACCAGTCACCAAAGTTTCATTAAAACTGCTCAAAGCACTTTTGAGTTATTGTCCAAAAACTGGAAATTCCCCCTTTTTTTATTGAATAAAATCCCATAACTCGGAAACATAAAAATCTAAAGTTTATAAAATTCAAAAGGGAGCTTACGTCAATAGATATAAACAATTCACCAAAGTTTCATGCAAACTGGTTAAAGTGTTTTTGAGTTATTATCCGACATGTCGACGACATACGGACAGAAGGACGGACTTAACATAATGATAGGACCTTACATGTTTACATAGGAAATAATGAAGTATTATCCACTGATGATATTTATTGAGTTATTTGCACAATGTAAGACCTGCTGTGAAACAGGGCCATACAAAGACTTAAAATACAATATACCTGTGCTTTTCTGTTGCTGTAATCTATGTGTGACTTCTGTGGACACTTTAAAAACTGCTCCTAATCTTTTATAGTAGACATCTATACATTCCAATAGCATGAAAACATTATTAATCCTAGTACACATCTACAAGGTAAACATATAATAAAAAAATACAAATATTCCAGTATTAAACAGGTCCAAAAAACACAAGTTCTAATTTACAGCAATCGAAGCAATAATGCCTGTTTTGATTTTTTAAACCTGTGAAAAGAGTATAATTTCATGCTAAGTAATATATTATGATGCTCAATTCCATACTTAACTACCGGTATTACCTTTTGTTTTATTTTCTCTTTAGACCTTTTCAGAAGCTTATTTCAGGAATCAGGAATTTTACTCTATAACTATAATTTGAAGCAGGTTATTTCACTTGTCTAGCAGTACTGCTTGGCAGCAATTAAAGTTTTATGAAAAGTCAAGGATTAGCAGTTTTGAATCCACATAGAACAGCAAAATACTTTTGTCATTTTGAAAATTGTTTTTCAGTGCAGGCAAAATCACTGATTAATTTGGAGTACAATTATTATTATTATTTTCTTGTTCCTATTTAGCAATCTGTTTATGTTACTATTAACTTTTTTTCAAAATTATTCATAAATATGTCAAAAATGTGTTATTCAGATATTCTATTTGTCATCTGATTTTATTCATACAATTAAAAAAAAAAAATTACATCTTTAGAAACAGGTTCATAACGATCACTCAACAGCTCTGCTTTACTCTTGAGATAATGGAAGCAATCTTTCTCACCAGACAAATTATGACGACATCCCCAGATCATGCCTTTTGATTTCATCGTTTGCAAGTCATCCATTAACTAAAATGTATAATAACAAAGAAACAGAAAGTTACTTTGAAATTTTTTAAATCAATACATACCGTTAATCTATTACTGCAGATTCATTTTTACTTGTGGGATACCAATTTTCATGTATTTCGTGGGTATAGGTGTGAAAGGAATTTAAATGTTTAATACCATACAAATTTCTAAGGGCTTGTATTTTGGCAAACGGTACCATGAAATCAAATATCTATGAAAATACGATTTTTCATCAATCCACAATAAAATGCTTCGCTGAGCGCAGCCTAATACGACCGCAGAGGTCGAACCCTGAACAGTTGGGGCAAATTTGGATATAATATTCAAGCTTGATAATGTCTGAATTTTGATTGTGATCAAATTTTTGACATAATATAGGTTACACAAAATAAATGTGGTAAAAGATCTTACAAATCTATTGCGCAATACTGTGCAATTGAAGATTACTTCTTGAAACTTTTACAATATTCGTGAAATTTGAAAATTTTTGAAAAAAATATGAATTCCTTAAAAAAATTGGAAACCCCCCTCACGACTTTTGGAATCCCCCTTGGAGCAATTACCCCAAGACTCGATCCAATTCTTTCCTTTGTAGTATGGAACCTTGTAGTACAATTTCAGAGAGATCCATACACATCTAACACAAGTTATTGTTTGGAAACTAGAATAATGCATGTTTTTGGCCCTTTTTTGGCCCCTAATTCCTACATATTTGAGACAATTACCCCCAAACTCAATCCAAGCCTTCCCTTTGTGATATGGAACCTTATGGTACAATATCAGAGAGATCCATACACTTACACATAAGTTATTGTCCGGAAACTACAAAAATTGTTGTTTTTGGCCCCTTTTAGGCCCTTAATTCCTAAACTGTTTGCCCCATAACCCCTAATATGAATCCCAACCTTCTACTTGTGGTATTAAACATTGTTGTACAATTTCAGAGCAATCGAAATACTTATACACAAGTAATTATCCTGAAACTAGAAAAATATTTGTTTTGGGCCCCTAATTCATAAACAGTTGGGACCATCATCCCCAAAATCAATTCCAACTTTCCTTTTGTGGTATTGAACCTTCTTAAAAATTTTCATAGAGATCCATTAACTTAAACTAAAGTTATTGTCCAGAAACCAATGTGTCTTCGGACGACGACGCAGACATCATACCATTATACAATCCAAAAAATTTTTTTTGCGGTCGTATAAAAATTGGTACATGTACCAACAAAAATAAATGAATCCACAGTAATAATTACATGCTGAAAAGTCCAAATTTTCATCAACTAAAGCTCTTTATAACATGGACGTATTGTTCCTGAATGCTATCATTAAGAGATATCTAAGGGTAAAATCCTGTTCAAAATGGATGAAAAATAAACAAGAATGCAAAAGAGAGGTGAAAGATAACAGAGGGACATTCAAACTCATAAGTAAAAAAAAAATAGCCAACGCCAGACCAACAAACAATTGTACACAAAACACAACATAGAATGTTGTGCTAAGCATACCCCATTTGTAACTCAAAGTTTTGTATAGACCAATGGACAAACAAGATGATTGCAATATAGTCCTCACATTTAGACTGGAGATATAAAAATAGATTCATAAGTCATAGGATCCCCTTTATTGACAATCATTCAATAAACCATAATGATACAGCTAACAAAATGCAAGATGAAAAGAAAATGTTGTGGTAATGAATGTTTCATGTTAGTTTGTAATGACATGTATCGTAGAGTGATTGTATCAGACACAAATTAAGGCTAAGTAAGAAAGACGTCTGCAATGATACTTGTAGTGGAACAAAAAAGTAGGTAACGTCACAACAACTGTGATGTTGTATACATAGAGAGCGATAGCGCAAACATCTCATATGCAATCTGCAACAACATGCTTCACAACTATTTTTTTCAAATTTCTTTTGGCTTTTAATTCACTGGTAAATGGAGAGTAAAGATACTTACCAAGGAACCAGTCAACTTCCTCGCCTCACTATTTGTAGTTCCACACAAGTCAAAACATAAAATGTTATTTGCATACAAGTGAAGAATGTTGTTCATCATCTACAAATAAATATTAACCCAGACATGTTTTATAGCAAAAGTATTTTATTAAAAATTATATTATCTATTAAAAAAAAATTTGAACATAACAGAAAAGTGATTGTTAAAAGAATCCATTCAAACTATTTTAGGATAGACATTTTTTTCAATTTTCTTTTTGATAAACTATTTTCTTCTACATGTTATGCATTATGATTGAAAATATATAACCAGCAAATTTCATATTATTAAAAGTTCAATAAAAAAAAATCTTTTTCTAATGTGAAACACTTATCTTTATATATATTCTCTTTTGTAAAGAACTTTTTATTCTCTGGACAAACAATTTTTTGGACTTCGTTCAAAATCACAGTTTTTTTTCAGCAATATACAGAAATAAGACTTTTTTAAAACACAATCTTGTATTTATTTCCCACTCCACCACAATTTTTACAATAGAAACAAACATTTTTTTCTTCCCTTCCCTTCTGGAACAAAAAAAAAAAAATTTTATTTAAAAAAAATGTGCCCCCTCCCTCCCCCCATTAAAATAGGTGAATGGTTGGTGTATAAACTATTCATACAAATTTATAAGAACGTGTATCACTGTACCTTTATATTTGTTTCGTGTAATTTCCTCTTCATTTCATAAGAAGAAATGGAAGCCATTTGGTATGTCCCCACTGTCCACACACTCTGCACAAATGACTGACATAATGTTTGACTGAACTCCACTAATCTTTGTAAAATGACAACTATATCCAGAACTGAACCTGATACAGGCAGTAAAGCAGTTTTCTTTACTTTTGAACTTTCATTGCTACATGAGGATACTGACCTAACAACTGGTTCGGCTTTAAGTTTATGGGCAATTGGCTTAATAAGTTTTGGACTGACAGTTTTTAATTTCCGAACATTTTCACTTTGATCCAAATCTGAATATGGAACCAGTGGTACAGTTTTAATAGGTTGTGGGATCTCATGTACAACATTTTTTATCACAGTTTTTACAGGATCTTTATAAAGACTAGATTGATCATCAGTTTTAGCAACTTCAGACAATGGAGGGAAACTGAATTCATCTGAATGATCCGAGTGATCTGAATCTGTATGATCCATTTCAATGTCATCTTCATTGATGTCGTTTTCAACATCAACTGCTTTCCCTCCCTTTTCGGCAACATGTGAATTGTTATCATTTTCAGAACTTCCTTTTTCATTATTTTTGACATTATCTATTTCAAAATCATTTTCAGCACATTCCATTTTTGTAACATCATCTTTTTTTATGCTTGTTTCAAAATTGTCTATTTTGGTGTCACTTTCTTTTCTGACATCATTTTTAAAATTTTCTATTTTGAAATAATTTTCAACATTCTCAACTTTTTCATCAGTATCTGCTTTATCACTATTTTCTATACTGTTTGACATTTCAAGAATTTCAATTTCAGGTCCTTTTTTAACACGCTTGATATTTTTCTCTTTCTTTTTATCCAATATGACAGTGATTTCTTTTTCTTCATTGTCATGTTCCCGTCTATAATTCTCCATGGGAGATAACTCATACATGATCTTTTCAGCTAAAGTTCTTCTCTGCTCGTCTTCTTGATTCTCATCAGAATGTCTGTTTGGATTGGTGTCAATTTGGCGTGAAAGACTTAAAACTTTTCGAGGAACATTTAGATAATGATCATAACTTTTACTGAGATTATCTGGTAGTGAACTACACGACCTAAGTGAACTGAATGTGACAGCTTCTGCTTCATCGATCAAATGACCTTCAGTGTCCTCTGTTCCATCAAGTGATCTTGTCTCTGGGTTATATCTGTGTTTGAAAGAGCTGGTTGTCTTTATTGATTCAGAAGTTTTTGGTTTGAAAGCTGAGGTCTGGACATTGGATTGGGATACATCACCAGGATGGCTCCACTGAAGTAAAAGCATATAACAGTTAACAGAAGACAATTATCCATGGAAAAAGTAGGGGAATAAAAGCCCACAAATATGAATATTGAACCATCTTTTACTTTGCTCTAACATTGTATGTCATAAAATTTTACAGTGTGTCCTACCAAAAAAACAAAAAATCTATTTACTGACAAATCCAAGAACTGGTCTTAATCTACCTTAAGGCTAAATACTGACAGAGATTTAAAATTGAATAAGTCAATTAGAAATGAGAAATATCATCTTATTGCACTATGAATTTAAGAGGTAGGCATTCTAGGAAATAAACCACTTAAACAAGTTTAGATTTTGACATTAGTTATTTACAAAAAGTGAACTAAATTTATTAGTTGCCTTGTTGCCAAAGTTGCTATAAAAACATAATAATGAAATAGAATTAGAATTTCAGATTATAAGTTTTATTCAAACATAAAGCTTTATCTTTTCGTAACATAATGAAAACTATAATTGTAAGTATACCTACAATATTACTGTAAACTGGGGTAGAGTTAGATGATACTAGTCCACTGAATGCACTGTTGATAGATGGTGTTATTGATTTCAAAGACATTGTTCTGTCTCTGGGACTAGATACAGAACTTAATGATACTTGGTATGTTGATCCAACATCATAAAAGCACTGGGTAGTAAACTGAAATAAGAACCATCTCAATATTGTCATACAATTGAGGGTGAGTAGGAGGTCTCATTCAAAATTCAATAGAAATAAAGTACCATTCTTCATTTCCTTTGAAAATTATACAGTCTTGAATTCCTGGACATTAGGTCAAAATGTCATTCTTAAGTGTATATACAGTTTTTATATGCCTTACCTAAATTATCATAATAGACAAAATATCCATGAATCAGGCATTTACAGTGTTGGTTATGATAAGGAACTGCATTATTTAGAGTCTTCTTCGGACTCTCATGAGGTATTTTATTCAACTGTCACATTCTTTTCTCAGAAAATTGCAATCTGAGAGTGCAAGACACTGGAGTCAATCTAAATCCTGATTTCTTATCAGAATAAAGTACAAGTTCAATGTTCATGAAATTTCCTGAGTTCAAGGGCTGTAGGCCATCAGGCACGAAACACAAACATGATCTGTAACTTACCATATTACGCTAATGAACCAGAAATCAGCCAAATATGTGCAGGCATAACAAAAAAGTATGGACAACTGTTGGACCTTAAAAGAACAGACAGAAGAACATGGGTAACACTGTTTGCCCAAGCAACTGAGTGTTGAGGCCATAAAAAAACTTTTAACTATTTGCCAAAAACTCCTAACAAAAAGCAGAAGTGATTGGTATCCATATTCTGCTGTTATCTAACCTTCATATATTGCTCATTCCTGAACACTGATAATGGATCTAATTCAGTAAGGTTTAAGATAAGCAAAGGAGCTTGAAGTACTATTGAAAACATGTCTAACAGCATTTATGACAAACTTTTCTGATAACAATAGACCAACTCATGATGGATACCATAAAAAGTTTTGTATTGATGACATCAATTCAGGCTGAATATAACGCGGACTTATATGACAATTATAAAGCCTAATAAAATATTTCAGTGTGTGGACAAGATAAACTCTGAAGAAGAAGAAAAAGGGCAATATATATGCACCATAAACAGGTAATGTAAGCATTTTGCTGCTAAGAAAAGTAAAATTCACTATTTGGAAAGCAAAATTATCACCACTATTTTGTAATTTTGTGTTCATATGTCGTCGTTTGTCTATTGGTTTAGAACCAGGAATGAAGCAGATCTTGTAATAAACACATACCAGAGAACATCTTTATATTGTTATTTCAAAAATATTGGTGTATTCTCTTTCATAGCCTGATTTTGAGCTAAATATAATAATACAATATTATTATATATATACATCTTTAGTCGGGTTGTTGTCTCTTTGACACATTCCCCATTTCCATTCTCAATTTTATAATCATATAAATATCTGAATTTTCCAGTTTAGCTAGAATATAAAAATTTGCTTACACGATCTAATCCTACTGCTAGCAGTACACTTTGTTGTGTGAGTGTCTTCAATATGCTTAGCCAGTGAAGTGACTGTTTGTAGAAAAATTCTCTCCATAAGTAAGAGCTAAAATACAAAAAGTCTATACTTTTTACTATTTTTTACAAAATTGTAAAAATGAAGTACAGCTTTATAAGAAAAAAAAGTCTTGAAGAGTAAATTTTTTGATCTGTTCTTTTTAAATCCTCTAACATATCAAAAACTAAATGACTCTCAAAAACTATAAGAAAACTATCGGCAAGGACTTTCATTAGGAACTTCATGAAATAAGCTAAACTACAATCTTATATTTGTGTTAAAATGTGATTAGGATTTTCAACTAAAAGAAAGAAGTCATAATATTAAAATCCTGTGTACGTTGTACTATGAAAACAGGCCATTTCCATATTATTCATGTAAAATTTATAACATGTAAAATAAATAGATTTGTCATGGGTATATTCCCCTATCTACATCACAATCCCTCATCTTAAAATAATGTTACCCAAAAGTGAAATGGGGTTACAGTAATCACCTGTAACATTGCATAAATATTTCTCAAGATTTTGTCAATTGAATCTTTACTTTTATATGAAATTACTTTTTTTCAGGGACAAAGTACCTTAATTCTAAAAGGGATAGGCAAAAATCCTAATTATAAAACTTACTGTAAATTCAGAAATTATTGCGAGGTTTTTATAAATGCGAATAATGCGACTGGGTGAGTATCGCAATAATATGAAACTAGCATTCTGAAAACTGAAACATAGACCTGTATGCAGATTTTTTTGAAATCGCAATAATTAAATTCACATTTTTGTCCATTCTTAAAAAATCGCAATAATAAATGCACACAATAATTTCTGAATTTACAGTACATAAATTCTACCAGTTAGTAAACTTTCTTATGATTTGGTGAAAGAAAACTTAAAGAATTTCATCAATTTCAACCTGTTTTAACTGTCATGAGATTTAATGAAAGTAATGTTGAGTTATCAGTTTGACAGTTTTCAATATCAACATCTATGGCTGGTGTCTAAACACTTTTTATAAGATCATTTTCATGGAGAAGGTTCAGTCACCTTGGACAGTTAACATACCACTACTGTTTTTTTTTCTTCAGAACCACACCATAACTTTATATGATTTGATTACCTTGGATGTCCAGATACATACTGATTCCAGTCATTGTCAAGGTCATGTAGTCTATACCCCAATCCTAACAGCTGTTTATCTATTGATTTACTTGTCTGTAAATATAAACAAAAGGGGATCCTTTGAAAATAGCAAAAAAAAACATTTGCAAAAAAAGACAAAACTGCATTTATTACAAATTATTATAGTATTATAAATACTATGAATTCATCTTGAAATTGTGGATTTTGTATGTAAAGGCCAACACTAATTAAACCACTTAATGATATACATTTTTATACAAAATTTTAACTTATCTTTCATATTTGTATACAAATAAAATAGTAGAAAATTAAAAAAAAATTTACATACAGATTTATAAAATAAAATGCTTCGCAGAGCGCAGCCTGATACGACCGCAGAGGTCGAACCTTGACCAGTTGGGGCAAGTTTGGACACAATATTCAAGCTTGATACTGTCTGAATTTGGATTGTGATCAAATTTTTGACATAATATAGGTTTCTGACACAAAATAAATGTGGTCAAAGAGCTTAAAAATTTGAAATGGGACATTCATTTTACCTAGAATGGTCTGATATCCAAAATCTAACAACATGGTTAGATTCAGCATATAAAAAAATTTGAAAGGGTTCCGCGGAACCCAGTGTCTCGCCTACTTTTGGTGTTAATCGCAGGCTCAACAAAAATGAGGAAAAAAATTAATAAAAATATTCCCCTCTATACTATGTTTTGATTGTAAGTAGCTTCTGTCCAAGTTTGGTAAAAATCCAGGATAATTTATGAATCTAATAAATGTTTTAAAAACTTAAACTGTAGAATGTATGTAATGTTGACTGGAAGAAAAACTAAGTCCATTTATAAGTAAAATACAGAAAAAATGGAACAAAATTTTATCAAAATTTCCTTCTAGATACTAGCTTTTGATCATAAACAAGCTTCTGTCCAAGTGTGGTACAAATCCAGGATAGTTTAAGAAAGTTGTAAAAATTTTAAAAACTTTAACCACAGAGTGAATGTAATGTTAACTGGCAGAAAAACTAAGTCCATTTATAAGTAAAATACGGAAAAATCGAATTTTTTTTTTACAAAATTTACTCCTGGATACTATCTTATGATCATAAACAAGCTTCTTTCCAAGTTTGGTATAAATCCAGGATAGTTTAAGAAAGTTATTAAAATTTCAAAAACTTTAACCACAGAGTGAATGTAATGTTTCCTGGCAGAAAAACTAAGTCCATTTATAAGTAAAATACAGAAAAATGGAATTTTTTTTTTACAAAATTTACTTCTGGATACTATCTTATGATCATAAACAAGCTTCTTTCCAAGTTTGGTAGAAATCTAGGATAGTTTAAGAAAGTTATTGAAATTTTAAAAACTTTAACCACAGAGTGAATGTAATGTTAACTGGCAGAAAAACTAAGTCCACTTATAAGTAAAATACGGAAAAAATGGAATTTTTTTTTTACAAAATTTACTTTTGAATATAATCTTATGATCATAAACAAGCTTCTGTCCAAGTTTGGTAGAAATCCAGGATAGTTTAAGAAAGTTATTAAAATTTCAAAAACTTTAACCACAGAGTGAATATTTGTGGACGCCGCCGACGACGACGACGACGCCGAAGGAATGTAGGATCGCTATGTCTCACTTTTTCGACAAAAGTCGAAGGCTCGACAAAAACACCAAAAAATTTAATTTTAGTTGAAATCAATCAAAAGTTTAATTTTGGACCCTTCAAACCTTAATATGGACTAATTTGAAAACAGGGCCCAAAATAAAAAATCTAAATACACAATAAGATTCAGCATATCATACAGCTGCAATCATTCAGTTTTTGATGAAATCAAACAAAGTTTTATTTTGGACCCTTTTGACCTCAATGTAGACTTATTTAAAAATGGGGCCCAATATCCAAAAAAGTAATACAAGGTAAGAACCCCCAAAAATTAAAGACTTAAAATGAATCCCATTGAAATTGGTTAAAAGATTTGTATTTATTTTCAATTGAAGATTTCTTGCTATTGCACAATACTGTGCAATTGAAGATTTCTTGCTATTGCGCAATACTGTGTAATTGAAGATTTCTTGCTATTGCGCAATACTGTGTAATTGAAGATTTCTTGCTATTGCGCAATACTGTGCTATTGTGCAATACTGTGCTATTGCGCAATACTGTGCAATTAAAGATTTCTTGCTTTTGCGCAATACTATGCAATTGAAGATTTCTTGCTATTGCCCAATACTGTGAAATTGCGCAATACTGTGCAATTGGAGATTTCTTGTTATTGCGCAATACTGTGCAATTGAAGATTACAAAAACTTTGAAGAAAAAAAATATGAACCCCAAAAAATTGGGGAAAAAATCCCCCCCCCTTTTCTCACCCCCCCCCCCCCCCCCCCCCCCCAGTACAATTTTAGAGAGATCCATACACTTACACACAAGTTATTGTCTGGAAACTAGAAAAAATGCAATGAAGTTTATTAAACTAAAGTTATTGGCAAATTTCCAATGAAATTTATTAAAAATAAAGTTTTTGGCAAGTTTCCAATGAAGTTCATTAAACTAAAGTTATTGGCAAATTTCCAATGGAATTTATTAATAATAAAGTTTTTGGCAAATTTCCAATATACATAATTTAAAAGCAGTTTAGGTGAGATAAACAAAAAAGCTCCATCAGTAACATTTTATATTGGCAAATTTCCAATGAAGTTCATTAAACTAAAGTACTTGGCAAATTTCCAATGGAATTTATTAATAATAAAGTTTTTGGCAAATTTCCAATATACATAATTTAAAAGCAGTTTAGGTGAGATATTCAAATGAGTTTCAATTACCAACCTTACACTGCCTTTTAAATTATGTTTTGAACTTAAGTAATTGTCCATTAACCTGGAAACCCTTTTCCCCCCTTTTTTGCACCTTATTCCTTAACGGTTTGAGCCATAACTCCCAAAGACAATTCTTACCATCCCTTTGTGGTATTCCAATATCCAAAATCTAAATCCATGGTTAGATTCAGCATATCAAAGAACCCCAAGAATTCAATTTTTGATGAAATCAAATAAAGTTCAATTTTGGACCCTTTAAACCTCAATGTGAACCAATTTGATAACCGGGCCCAAATATCAAAAATCTAAATATATGGTTAGATTCAGCATATCGAAGAACCCCTTATATTCAATTTTTGTTGAAATCAAACAAAGTTTAATTTTGGACCCCGATTTGGACCAACTTGAATACTGGGCCCATAATAAAAAAACTAAGTACATGTTTAGATTCAGCATATCAAAGAACCCCAAGAATTCAATTTTTGTTAAAATCAAACTAAGTTTAATTTTGGACCCTTTGGACCTTAATGTAGACCAATTTGAAAACAGGACCAAAAATTAAGAATCTAAATACACGGTTAGATTAGGCAATTACCCCCAAAATCAATCCCAGCCTTCCCTTTGTTGTATGGTACCTTGCAGTACAATTTCAGAGAGATCCATACACTTGAACACAAGTTATTGTCTGGAAACTAGAAAAATGCTTATTTTTGGACCCTTTTTAGCCCCTTATTCCTAAACGTTTTGGGCAATTACACCCAAACTCAATTCCAGCTTTCCCTTTGTGATATGGAACCTTGTAGTACAATTTCAGAAATATCCATACACTTACACACAAGTTATTGTCATGAAACTGGAAAAATGCTTGTTTTCTGCCCCTTTTTTGGCCCCTAATTCCTAATATTTTGAGGCAATTACCCCCAAAATCAATCCCAGCATTCCCTGTGTGATATGGATACTTGTGGTACAATTTCACAGAGATCCATACACTTGAACACAAGTTATTGTCTGGAAACTAGAAAAATTATTATTTTTGGACCCTTTTTGGCCCCTTATTTCTAAACGTTTTGGGCTATTACCCCCAAACTCAATTCCAGCTTTCCCTTTGTGATATGGAACCTTGTAGTACAATTTCAGAAAGATCCATACACTTACACACAAGTTATTGTCATGAAACTGGAAAAATGCTTGTTTTTGCCCCTTTTTTGGCCCCTAATTCCTAATATTTTTAGGCAATTACCCCCAAAATCAATCCCAGCATTCCCTGTGTGATATGGAACCTTGTTGTACAATGTCAGAGAGATTCATACACTAACACACAAGTTATGTCTGGAAGTTACAAAAATGCTTATTTTTGGCCCCTTTTTGGCCCCTAATTCCTTAACTGTTGGAACCATAACCCCCAAAATCAATCCCAACCTTCCTTTTGTGGTATTGAACCTTATGGTAAAATTTCATAGAGATTCATTCACTTAAACTAAAGTTAGAGTGCGAAAACCAATGTGTCTTCGGACGACGCCGGACGACGACGACGCCAACGTCATACCAATATACGACCGCAAAAATTTTTTGCGGTCGTATAAAAACAAAAAAACACATTCATTAATTTAAATGTATCATGTAATCTTTTTTTTACATTGGCCTTAAAAAAGCTAATATACTTTTAAAGCCATGCAATAAAAAATCCTTCAATAATGAATACTGCAATTTTCGTTTCTCAGACTTTAAGATATACAGCTTCAATGTTATAATAAACATTCTAGAAAGTTTGAAGTTCAGGGCTGAGACCTGTAAGAGGAGTTAACTAGACATCATTGAGATGGGAGCCATCTCTGTGGGCCCGGCTGACCTTGAACTTTGACCTAGGAAGTTGTACAAACATTATGACACCCCCTCTGGTGTTGGTTAATATACATGTCAAGTATAAATCATGAAATTTTAACAGTTCTCTAGATATAGAGCAGACACAATTTGTTACGGAAGCACAGATTGATCACTATAGGGCGACCCGCCACTAGGCGGGGCCCTAATTAAAGAAAAAATTAAGTATCATCAATTGAGAATGTTGCTTAAAACTTGGCTAAGTTTCACCCTCTGGAAACATGTGTGGATCCTGGACTTGGTGTTCAGAGTCGCAGAAAATCTGACAGGGTTTTATGCTTAGCGGTATATGTATTCAATTTTTCTAATTTAGAAATGTAATGAACACTAAATGTTTTACATGAACTCACAGGCTGAGCATCATAAACTTTGAAAAACTGTTGTAAATCATCCATAAAAAGAGTGTAAAGACTTTGTGCAGCCAGTTCTGTGACATTACAATATCTGAAACAAAAACAATATTACAAAATATGCCAAAAAATTTCATGACTAATTTTTATATTATAAAAGCAGTGTGATGTACATAAGACAATAGTGAATATGCAAAATTTTAAGAGTAAAAAAAAACTCACTGTTCAATGTTTCACAATGAGTGTAAACTTGTAACTGGGCAAGAGCTAAGGAAGGTCTTCATTTAAGAGTAAGGACAAAGACAGGTCAGCTCTGAATAAAAAAAAATGTATCTAGGAAAGGGAAGATGTCTTTCTGAGGATTGTCACCTTGTGAGCTAGATAGCAAATGTAAAATCTAACTAAGCGTGTAGGTCTAGTTCGAAGCAGATATATATTCATATCTCATTAACATGTTAAGCAGCTACTTTATCGATCAAGATACATATGATACATATTTATTGAATAAAAATTTAATATTATCAAATTTTTGTAAAAAACTTCATATTTCCTAAAACTTTTTTTTTTAATATATATCTTTTTAATATATACTCTCTATAGGATCTTCATTCTTTCTTTATGTTTGCTTTTGACTTTTTACAGAAATGATAAAAATTTACCTGCTAAATGTCCCTTGATAATACGTCCTGTAATGGCTAACTTCGTCTCGAATTTTACCAATTACCATATTCAACTGAAGAAAAAAATGTATTTCATTTAATGCAGCTAGAAATATAAGCTAAATGTTAAAAAGTTTTAAATAACCAAAAAAAGATTAAAATTTGTTTTCTATATGAATGAAATACATGTAATATAAGTACCGTATATGTGTGATTTAAATTATAATAGATATAAGAAGATGTTGTATGAGTGCCAATGAGACAACTCTCCATCCAAGTCACAATTTGTAAAAGTAAACTATTATAGGTCAAAGTATGGCTTTCAACACGGAGCATTGTCTCACACCGAACAGTAAGCTATAAAGGGCCCCAAAAATGACTAGTGTAAAACCATTCAAACAGGAAAACCAACGGTCTAATCTATATAAAAAACCGAGAAACGAGAAACGTTTCAACTAATCACTGTTAAGCTCCTGACCAAATAAAAAGTCACTCTGTTCAGTAATATCTAAGAAAAGTGTAATGAAAATGTTTGTTCAAGGATGAACTGACAGATGGACTAAGTGATTGCAATTTAGGCTGGAGTGGGGGTTATAATTAACAATTGTCTAGAATATTGATTCAGCACTGTATTGTGACAAGACAGATTCAAGTACATTCTACAAAAATTTGTGCGCTTACATCCTGGTATTTTTAGTGATAACATTGTAAATTATTTCATAGATTCCTTAATTCCATGTAAACAAGAAATTATAAGATTTCTACAATCTTAACAAACAACTGTTTTTAGTTGTAAATGTAGCACTCCTGTAAGTACATGAAATATCATTGATGCAGTCATTTTCTGTAAATTTACTGTTTATAAAATGTCAAAATCATTTTGAAAATACTAAGGTTTTTCTACCCAATGACATTAATGGCCTTCACCAGATATAGCACAAATATTTTGTAAATTTTGGTGTTTACAGTGCTCTTATACTTTGTAATTGAGTTCATTTTTGACCTGATTGGTTTGAGTGGTACTAATGAGTCTTTTGAAATACTAAGGATTTTCTACCCCAGGACACAAATGGCCTTCACCAGATATGGCACAACTTGATTAAAAATTTTGGTTTTTACAGTGTTCTTCGACTTTGTAATTGAGTTTGTTCTTGACCAGATTGGTTTGAGTGGCATTACTAAGGTTTGTTTGATTGTTGATTGCTTAATTTCCAGTGGCAAATATTTTATGCATGCTCAGGACAACGAAATACTAAGGATTTTCTACCCCAGGAAAAGATTACCTTAGCTCTATTTGGCAAAACTTTTAGGAATTTTTGGTCCTCAATTCTATTCAACTTTGTAGTTTGTTTGGCCTTTTTAACTTTTTTGATTCGAGACGCACTGATGAGTCTTTTTAGATGAAACTCATGTCTGGCATACAAAATTTCAATCCTGGTATCTATGATGAGTTTATTTCTAAAGGAGAGACTCCTGTCTGGCATACTAAATTATAAGCCTGTTACTTTTTGTTATTTTTTTCAAAATATACTATACCAGTGATGGAGTAAGGTAGCCATTGCTATCCTGTTTCAAATCTGTTTTTGCAACAAGCTTCATTTTCTCATAAGATGGTGGAAAGGTTTCCTAATAATAATAAATATATATCAGTGATGAATCATCTATTTTATTTCCATCATGATAAACAACATTGGGTTGATGCATTAAAATTGGTGAATATTGTCCTAAGGAGGGTATTATACTGTAACTATAAATCTTTTACAAGGGATAATATTCATCAATAACCCTTTCAAAGTATAGAAAAACTTTTTAAATCACAACAACACAGCAATTCTTTTTCTTAAAAAGCCAAAAGCACCATATTAACCTACCAATAACATTGTCATTTTCAAGTGATTTTACATGGTGTGCATACCAGGGAACTTTAAGGTTACCCGCTACACAACATATTGCATTGCTTTTCAAAATAATTATAAATTATTACACAGCATTTTCCAAATTAGCCCTGGTATCAGCCCTAGACTCCCATTTCAAGCCAGAGGGCTGATATGGATCGAGGGCTGATACCAGGGCCAATATGGAAAATGCCATGTAATGATCTATTTATCAATTTATTTTCATATTTTCAATTCAAGTCACTTTGAGTCTTCTTTTTTGTGTTTTCATTTTTCATTTCGTCAATAAATTTACTGGCAACGTTACTTGAAACTTGCAGAAACCTCTCCCTATTGTCTGCATCTCAAGATGCAATCTTGTTTATTGTTTTTGATTGACAGGTTAAGGGGAAGTTAAATTCTGGGGATCAATATGGGTATTTGAGGGCAAATATGGATATTGGCCCTGAGGACAAATAACCAACTTTGACTTCTGGCCATTATTGGACATGAAAAATCGTACATTTTACCGTACATAGTACAAAATATGTGATAAACAATATTATTTCATTGTATGAAAAAAATGATAGCTAAATAAATATTTTATTGGTTGAGACTATCCAACACAACATTGAACAAAACATCATATTCCCCTCTTAAGATCCTGTCTACCTTGCGAACTTAAAACCTTGTTTATATAGGGTTTATAGGCTTATAACACAGCGAAACCATTGTCAAGATTATGTCTAAACTTTTTTCAGGCATATAATCAGAACAGAAAAATAACATGTCATGCTATAAATAAATAATGATTGATATACATGTACTATTTATCATAATTTATGCCATGTAATTATAAAATTAAGGGGATATGAGAAATTGCATGTACCTGATCATTCTATTTTCTGTAATCAAAGAAAGGAGTGGAATAAAACATTCATTTCTGTTATCTAAGGGAGATAAATATAGATTCTGCCACAGCAATGAGTGTGATATGATATTTGTCAACTTGAAGCAGTTAAATTTTCATATTTAAGTGCCAATCTGCCTAAGAATCAGGCAGTGGTGAAAACATGACAAACAAAAACACACTCAAGTTGACATTAATGTATGTTCAAATTGTATAATGGTGCACTAATATAACATTCGTTTCCTTTTCCTGTTCTGGTAATTCAAGATATAATATGGTTGAACTGCACTAGAAAATAAAAATTAAGGAGAGCTAACTCAGTAATTTGCTATCATTCTAACCAAAAGTTATCTAGAGATTTCTCAAATTACCAGACATGCAGAAACAAAAGACCTACCATTTCTAACTTAGGATGAGGGTAACTTCAAAATAGGATGGTTAGGTCGGTGTGCTTTTTCTGCCATGTTTTGAAACTTTTCTAAATTGCATGATTCTTACAAAGACTGACACTTAAAAGGCGAGGCTTGCTGAGCTTATTTAAAAATATTTACTTCACTTACGGTTATACAACTTAAATCCTGTCCTATTTTTCTCTTTTCGACTTTGGGATCTTTCACCTCTCTTTTAAAATCTTAAAAGTACACCAAGTGAAAATAAAGAAAATTTGCCTATATTATCTTTTATTTCAATTTCATTGTCTGTTTTAGAACACAATAGAAAAGATGAAATTACCTTTATACACTGTATAATGAGATCATCAAGCAATTCAACCTTTGGAATTTTCAGATGAACTTGTGCCTCCAATGTTTTTTCCATCAGGCTTATTAGCATATCTAAAATGTAATGTTGTTATACATTTATTTAATTAGTCTATCAATGAAAAATTATTCAGCATAAACCAAAATCATGACAACGAATAAATAGACAGATGAACACACCTACCAACAAGAAGATCACTATATATGTCTGATAATTTCTTGTAGAGATATATTAAAAACAAAAATTTCTCTGTTCAAAGTACTCGTAACAAATATCATGGGAAAATGTCAACACTGCCTGCTGATACTGTGACTTGACTGTAAGTGTTGCTTTCTACCTATTGCAGTTTATTTAAAATTCTGACCAAATTGCAATTTATATTATCAAACCAAACTGTTCAACTGGTCAGAAAATTTAACAAACTGCTGTAGAAAAAGTCAAGTGGTGAAAATGAAAGGTGATAAAAGCATACTTACAATCCTATAAGACTTTAATTCTACTTCATTGATTTTATGAATAATCAGTCTTACAATTTCTATACAAATTTTATTGTAATTGTCATGCTAAAGGTGATAGGAAGTAATTTTTGAATTGCACAGATGAACAGTTTGGTTTGATAAAACAAATTGGGATTTGGTCAGAATTTTGAATAAACTGCAATAGGTGGAGAGCAACACTTACAGTTAAGTCACAGTAAAATGAAAATGAATAAAATAAAATTAATTTTTATCTAGAATTTAGAATTCAACTGGAGACCATATGATTTTTATAAGATTAATATAATTTTAAAGTCAATTCAGGAAGTAAGAAATAACTACATAGCTATACTATAAAGTAAGGTACTATTAAATACAACATAATACTAACCAATACCATTTGAAGGCTTATTATCAGGGAAAACACTCTTCATCTTAGATAAGGTTGTCAGTGCTTTGCTTTGTAGCTTCTTGATACTGTCACACAGAATTTCTAACTGAAAAGGTAAGTTACTTTTTTTATTTGAATTCATATAGTTTTTGTATAAAAAATCATTTCACACTTAGGCAGCTATAAAAATGTATAGATTAATAGAAAAAAAGATATTCTGTAAAAAGTTGTTTTTTATGATGACATGAACTTGAGAACACTGCACTATTTCAACTTTAATCAAGCTGACAAAAAAAACAGCCATCAATAATAATATATATATATTTTACAGATCTAACATTGTTTGGCTGTTATTTAGACAAATTATATATACAGAATGTGTTTTCAGCCTTGTAACACGATCACTGGTGATCCCATGGATAAAATCTGTCGTAGAGTTGTCACTGGTTCAGATGTATTTATAATATAATTATTTCTGTGACTGCATCGTACATTAATTTGTAAAATCCTCTACGATAGATAATTCAGCTGATCTGTAATATTCCATCTTCATGCCTTATATATTATGTACGACGCTAGATAAAAACTGACGAGGAAAGGTAACACCCGTCCACCAAAAGCTTGATTTTTGATGAGCCTAGGTGGTGGAGTGGTCTAACGCGTTGGGCATAGTGCAACGTGATTTGGTGCCACGATATCTCAGTAGCATGAGTTCGAATCCCGGCCAGGGAAGAACAAATTTACAGATCTAACATTGTTGGGCTGTTATTTAGACAAATTATATATACAGAATGTGTTTTCAGCCTTGTATCACCATCACTGGTGATCCCCTGGATAAAATCTGTCAAAGAGTTGTCACTGGTTCAGACATACTTATTATATATATATATATATATATATATATTTATATAGAATGTCTAGATAAAAGTCAACGATCTTTCTTATAAGGGCATTGGATTGTCATGAAAAAAATACTGTGCACAATCAATAAATAAGCAGGTGTGACAGTACGTATACTTTACTTCTATAACTTCATTGTGAGAAGTTTTCAAGAAAGAATCTTAAGGATGTACTTAGCAGAAATTTAAAAAATCTACAATATAAAATTGATACTAAGGGTCAGAAGAGCATTAGTTAAGGAACAAAATAAGCTAAAAATATTGATAGGTTATAGAGCTCTTTTTCGAGATATTTAATTTTTTTAAAAAGGCGGGAAAAGGCTGACTTGGACATTTACCTTATATTTGCATTGGTATTTAATTTATTGACTTTATTGAAGTCTTATATGAAAAGAAAAATGGGTGTTATGGTGTTATGGGGCAAAATATTTTACCCTGTATCGTAGGAAAAAACCAAGGAGTCCGAACAGCTGACAAAAATTCCTAAACCTGACCTTAGTACATCCTAAACTGTATTTTTTAGCATTTCAATGCTTTAAACCAACACTATTTCAAGAAAAATGAACTAATTTGATTGACTCCCACTAGTAACATATTTAATTTGAAATCAGTGTCAACTTCAATAAATAATATGATACAAAATAACAACATATTTAGTATATAATTACTAAGGATTTATCTAAATCATGATTAATGTTAATTACACATTTTGTTATCTACTGTAGTTTATGAGAAAATATATCAAACTTTAACATCTGTTACTAGTGTTTTGCAGTCTGTTGCCAACTTAGAACAAGGAAACATAAATCAATAATTGATTACTTAAACACCTTAAAAAATACTTCTTGTTTATCTTCTTCAATCAATTTTATATAGTGAAAGAAGATGAATTGAAACTAATTATGCCTGATTTAAAAGGCTTTTTGTGTATTTTCTATTATTCTATTATTGTGTCTACATAATGGATAACATTTCATCATCTTAATCTTGTCATCAATAAACTATAAAAAGAAGTAATGGTGAATGTGTGCCAGATTTATTTTATTGACATTACTCTATGGCTTAGTTCTTTAAATCACAGTAGTGACATTATTGTCAGTTTCCAAGGAATTGGTCTCAAACTGGCGCTAGGGGCCATTTTAAAGTTGCAGTGAGGTGAGAGTTCTTGCTCCGTGTTGAAGGCCTCAGTGTGTCTTTGAGATGAAGAACAGCAATAAAAGCTCTGTTCCTTTGCTTTTTGTGTTTTTTGCTGCTTTCTTAAGCCAATTTCATTTTATAGCTTTATATTTGTTCAAATGTGTATGGGTTTCTAAGCTTAACAGTTTGAGCATTCTTTATGAAACTTATCTAAAAAATAACTGTAAAGTTAGTAAATTAGATTTGCTTGATTTTAATACATGAAATTTGGTAAAATAGGAGACAAAAAACATAGTTTGAATTTCTAATGTGATATCTTTACAACTTTATATCAATCACTGAAACAAGTATGAGATGTAACATATTTTGTCTAAATCTACTTTCTTGAACAAAAATACCTAATAAATGTAAGACGTTTTTGTCTAAATCTACTTTCTTGTACCAAAATACCCATTAACTGTAACACATTTTGTCTCAATCTACTTTCTTGTACCAAAATACACTATAAATGAAAATCATTTTTTTCTAAATGTTTCTAACCTCTTTTCTGACCATATCTTCTCGGTTTGGCAGAATTTCTAAAACAAATATCACTCCAAAAATACAATGCTGAATCAACCAGACAGAAGGATCAAAGTTTGCAACCAAGTATCGTAGATAGACTATTCTTCTGTACAACTCTCCCTGTAAAATTTGGTAATTTTATAACAATCATATTTTTGAAGTTGGAAATTGACAATTGGTTAATTTCAAAATTTCAATGAAGTCTATGGTATCTTCCAATTTTACTAATACTTTAAAGAATTAATTATAAATTATAATTGATTACAGTACAAAATATGTACAATATCATAAGGAATTTGTTACAATTCAACACAGTAAGCTTAATAAGTGTTTAACATGCATTTGGCAAAGGTTGTAAAAATGTACTTTCATAATTGTCAGCTTTTTTTAAAGAAAAGGACAACATTCATTAAGCACCCTTTAATTTAGTTAATATTAAATGTGGCCTGAAAGGTCTCTATATGGTAATTTGCATTGGAGAGGTTTATTTGAATAAAATCTATCAGTAATAGTACACTTTTGATAAGCATGTTGTTTTATTGGCACTACAAAGATACTATATATGTGCTGTTAAATCACATCCAAAGTACTTAAATTCATAAGATTTTTTACCCATTTTTTCTTATTTTCAAAATTGACTGCATTCTTATACAGAACCACTAAATTTCCAAAGTGCCTACTGTGGATTCATTTATTTTCGTGGGTACCAATTTTTGTGGATTGCGGAAAACTTGCCTTTTCATGGATACATGATTTCGTGGTTTTGCAAAAGTCTGCATACAACCTGATAGAAATTTGTACTTCATTGAACATTTTAATTCGTGATTCACCTGTACCAACGAAATCCACGAAAATTGGTATCCAACGAATGATAATGAATCCACAGTATTAGATTTATGATGTGGTATGATGCATGGCATATCATTATATACATGTAATAATTAAATGTGTTGTCACAAAGAAAATGATATACTAATACTTACTACTCCATATCGTAATCCAAATTCTTTCAGAAGTCTGATCGATGCTGATGACAAAAGTGTGGTTTGTGTATTATCAGCTTGTCTATAGGCTGATTCATACCTAAAATAGGAACAGGTTACACATATACACACAATATATATATTAAAGCTTTATAACTCAATTGAAATCAAAGTTCTCTTGAGCACTGAAGGGTATAGATTGCTTTTGTTTTGCAGTGGATACTTAAAATTAAACATTGCATTGTATAAAGCAATGAAAAACATTTAGGCAATACTTTAAAATTAAATTGGAGTTTTCTTATATCCATAATTGTAGTTAAATCTATCTATATTTTTCAAATCAAACAATTTTTTCTTTATCATAAGGTCAACAGATCTTTAAACTATTTTTTCTATATTCATCGTGGGCATGCATTATTTCATAAATTTCATAAATCACATAATCTTTGATTGTCAAACAAACACAGAACCAATAACACATAATTCAAGTTTGCAGTTTTTAATATAAAGTTCTTTTTATACTGGAACTGTTATTTTTTACAACTGATACTGTTAATTCAGAAATTATTGTGAGGTTTTTATCAATGGGAATAATGCGATTCAGTGAGTATTGCAATAATGAGAACTCGCATTCTGACATCTGATAAAAATAACTGTATACAGATTTTCCTGCAATCGCAATAATTAAGTACGCATTTTTGTCCTTTCCACCAAAATCGCAATAATTTCTGAGTTTAAAGTAGATTCATTCACGACTAATGTAATTTTCACTAAAATAGTTTTCTTGATAGAGTACAGTTATACCCCATACACAGACATATCATATTGTTACTTGAATATCTGAGTGTAAACTATATCATTTATGAATTGCTTGACATAACATGTATATATAGGATCTAATGAATGAGCACCTTACTGCACTATATGTTTGTGCTCTCAAAGGTTGAGATGTGGTCAGAAAATATAGCTATCAAGCCAGTGATTGATTGATTGATGGATGTTTAACGTCACTTTCAACACTATTGGCTATTTCGTGGCAGTCAGTTTTTATTGGTGGAGGAAGCTGAAGTGCCTGGACAGAACCACAACCTCCCACTGGATAACTGACAATTAAAATTGGAGTCCAGAGCACCTGCCATGTACAGGGTTCAAACTCACAACCTTTCATGTGATTAAAACCCTAGAAAATGTTGACCTTATAAGGTTACATTTAATGAGAAAATCTAGTCAATGACAAATAAACATACTTAAAATTAACAAATCCCAATGTAAAAGACGCCTACAATTTATCATTTCCAGGATTATTTTTCAGTGCTGGTTCACCCTTCAAATTATCTATGCACAGATTAAAACACATAGAATCACCATTTTTGTGAAAGCATCTCCATTTCAAATAAGATATTTCCTAAATTATTTACTTTTCATTGATTACCCTGACAGAGCTAATTATTATGGATACAATTATTGCAACTAATTTTGGAACAGGAAAAAAAACAAAGAATTTGTCTACAAGAGAATAAAACCAGAAGGGAATCATATGTGCATTATTGATAAAGATAACCCCTCTTTAAATCTATATAAGCTGATAGAAAAGTATAAAGAAAAGTATACATTATTTTGTTAAACTTCATTTTACATGATCAAGATTTATGGAAATTTATTTTATGCCTCTGAAAAAGTAATTTTCAGCAAAATTTACTGAAAATTTCAAAATGACTTTTCAATTAAGCAGTCATTACAGAACTGTAGACTAAGGTTCAAACTAAAATTTTTGCTAACCTCAACAATTTCTCCATGAGTACTACATAATCATCATGAACAGTCTGTAGAAACTGTATATGGTTGTTACGTTTATGTGGATGGGCAACATGCCAAAATTTTCTCATCAGTTCTGCAATGTGAATGAATTCTTTCCTCTGCCATCTGTCATATCCAAACTGTGTCTAAGTATAGAATGAAAAATATATTAAATTTTCTCTAAACATTTAGAGAAGTTAATGAATTTCTACCACAAAATAACCATTACAAGAAACAAAATACTATTTCACATCTGAAATCACAGACAGTGAATAACATTTAAACTATAAGAGATAATAAGAAAAACTAAAGACCAAATTTTTTCTAAAATGATATATTTGACCTGTATATACTAATAAAACTGTTGAATTATAGATATGCGTCAGCTACTTAATTTTGATCTCTTTCAAATAAATATTGTATCAGATCCATCTTGTCGCTGTGGGTTTCCCCGTAAAGATTCTGATCATTTCTTTTTAAAATGTCCTTTATATTCAAATTTACATCACATTCTTAGGAATAGTCTTAGTTGGCTTCCAGATGACCTTGTGTTGGATCTAGAGATTTATAACATCTGGTGGTATAAATCTGACAAATGAGCAAAATGAAGAAATTTTTAGAAATGTGTTTGATTATATTAAAAAGACCATAATCATGTGTATAATCTGAATGTAGTGATCCACACACACACACACACACACACACACACACACACACACACACATGCATATTTTTTCTCTTCCTATCTTTCCTTTTTTCTATATTGTTTGTTAATATGTCTCTTAAATAACAGATGTTTGATTATAATTGTGTAATAATAAATTTGATATTTGCATGCTATGAAATTCTATTGACTAATGTTGTATTTAAGATGGAAAAAAATCTAAGTTGGACTAACTTGTGTCTAGTCCTTTTTATGATATTTTGCAAATAAAATATGTAAAAACTAAAACTGTCAGCTACTTTGTAGTCAAATATAAACAGTTAGTTGATAAAACTGACATTTAACGGGAATCATTGCATTAAACAATGTTCAATTGACATGACAAATCTTTACATTAAACAAGATTAACAGTTTTATCTTAATAAGAATACAAAATTGGGCCCCACCATATCTTTGCAATTGAGAAACATGATTTCAGTTTTCATATACAGTGGATTCATTATTATTTGTGGGATACCAATTTTTCTGGATTTCCTGGGTACAAGTGAACTACAAATTTTAGTATTTAATGAGGTAAAATTTTTCTATAGGTTAGTATGCAGACTTTGTCAAAACCACAAAAGCAAATGTCCACATATATACAATTTTTCTTACTCAACTAAATTCGATACCAACAAAAAATAAATGAATCCACAGTAATGAGTTTTAAAAAAATCTAAGCATTTGAATAATGTAAAAAATTTAAAGTCATTTAACATGACTAAGAAACAGAACCTACAGTTCTAATTGAAACTGAAATGGGTGCATCAACAAAGATCTTGTAAAAGAACTTCTAAACAGACAAGCCTTTTCAAAAATCTGAACAATGTAAACATTCCAAAGTAACAAAAGCATGAATAAGGGGTGGTGTTTCGTATTCTTACCATATTTAAAACGTAGGGTGCTAATGCAACAGTGTTCTAGTGTAAGTACTTCTTTCAATTTTCATACCTTATTTTGATCGATATTTTTTTAAAAGTCACTGTAGCATGAAAAAGGCAGATAGTTTTCCAAATTGAAGTGAATGGATGATTAAACAACAGTTCTCTAATTTTCATGCTTTTTCATGTTTCTCGATCATTGTGAGAAAAATATTTGTCATCTCTAGAGAAAACTTTGTTCTAGGCAAATGATAAGTCGAAATTCAATTATGATGTCAAATTTTCTTGATTTCTTCTAAATTTCCTATTGTGACATCATGAAAAAAGGTGACCATGCCCAATGACATCACATATAAAAAACACTTTTTTTAAGTCTGAAAATTTACATTTCAGCAATGCAAAAATTTTAAAGTCTCTGAAGAATGACTGAGGGGACAGAGCCTCAAATACTGCCTGAATCTAAATTGCATGAAAGATAATGCCATACCTATCTTGACATTTGTTGTTGACTACACTGTCACCAGAAAAGAAAAAATGCACTTCTTCAAGAAGATTATGCAAAAACTAAAGATTACAAAATTTTCATTTCTTGATCAAACTTTAGGAAAAACACTGCAATGTCAAGGTCACAAAAGCTAACAAATATTTTTTAAGAGCATTTAAAATAACTGATGAAGTGAAATATTCTATATTCAATATATAAACTGCAAAACTGATATCAGCAGGGGAAATAATAGATGTACAATCAAATTGTTATCTCATAGTGTCAACATAGAAAACATCTTATAAAATGATAAGTTTTAAGCTGTGGTGTAAATGAGAGGTGTCCGTTGTTATTCTGTGGTTTACATGTTGTAATGTACTATTATATTATTTATTTATGTATGTCTCTGTCCTGAGTGTTCTTGTGTTTAGTGGTAATGTATTCCTGTCATGTAATGTTGCCATTTTTGATAGCGTTATTTTTAACATTGCCTCATAAGCGGGAGGTTTGGCTAGCCATAAAACCAGGATCAACCCACCATTTTTTCTTAAAATGTCCTTTACCAAGTCAGGAATATGGCAGTTGTTATTAAATAGTCGTTTCTATGTATTTTGGCGTTTGTTTTTGTAGCAGTTCAGTGTTTATGTTGTTACATTGTTTTCCTCTTATAATTGATGTGTTTCCCTCGGTTTTGGTTTGTGACCCGGATTTGTTTCAGTTAAATCGATTTATGACTATTGAACAGCAGTATACTACTGTTGCCTTTATTTAAGATGCTTATACAATTCTCATAGTACTATAAATTTGTAACATACCATGAAGTGTTTTGGTGTGTAATATGGATTGCTATTGTTTTCAAGTGAAGCCAACTGTCCAACTAATTCCTCTGCCAAAATCTGAAAGGTAAAAAAAAACAAGTCAATGACCATCAGTCACTTTTTGCCACTGATCTTTTTAATCATGGAGGAAACGAGATAAGTATAGATTGATTTCTCTAATTCTTGGCTAATTTATCCTTTTCCTGACCTATTTATTATTTTTATCTAATCAACCTGTGGTTTAGTTAATCCACTTCTTCTTGATCGAAATTCATTTATGACATCTTCTTTTCTTGCTTTCCTCTGAATTTCCTATCATGAAAAAAGGTGACCGTGCATGATGACTTTACATAGAAAGAAATCATCTTTTTGCAGATCCTTGGAAAAGAAGGATTAATTTGGTCTGCATACCATTTAAAATCATCAAAGAAACAGATTCTACCACAAAATTTTGTGCAATATGAAATTTCTTCACTCTTGACAGTTAAATTCTAAGTATTTGCTCGTCAAGCCTCACTTTTAAAATTTGAAAACTTAATTGTCTCGACTGGCAAGAAATCGTATCACACCGATGTTGTGGTAGAATCTATATTTATCCGGGGCATGTTTAGACCAAGGTTAATCATTTTCCTTAACTTTCATCATGTTAAGATCTTGATTCCCAACTGCTTTCATTTCATTAAGTTCTTATAAAGTACATTTAGAATTCACAAATTTTTCTTCAGCAAAGACTCAAGAGCTTCTCAAACAGCTGGAATAATAAAATATGTCACATGAACTTTGCAAGTGACCTTAAAAAATGCCAGATATCTTTTGTGGTTTTTTTTCTGACTCAGTTACCTGTACTCCACATCTCCTTTAATTCAATGCTATTGTTTTAATGTCCTTTTTGGTAATATAGCTCTTCAACTGTTTTGGTTCTTATACATCTTTGGCTTTCAAATATTCGGCTTTTGAGCGTTGCTAATGAAGGTAAATCCAGAAAAGTGCTTCGGACGCATGACATTTATAAGTGTTGTTTTCATTTTTTTTAAAGCAACTTATAAAATTCCTAAGCACTCACTCTGTTTGGTTCAGCATCTCTTTTGCCATAGGAATTCCTTATATATATTTCATACTGGTAAAATGTATTGGGACTTAGCCTGAATACCCGTCTTAACAATTCAAAGAGTGTTTCTGCAGGAACAATTGATGTCTCATCCTCTACATCGTCACCAGATTGTGTTCTCATTATCTGTGACTTTAAATCTTTGAACTGGATCCTGTCAAATATATGTTATAATTTGATTCTCTATATTATAAAAAAAATTTATATCTGACTTTTGCTGTAAAAAAATAAAAACATATAAAGTGCAATTTTACACATATTTACCCTATGCCGTACAGCTGTCTTAAAGTTGCAGAAAAACCTTCTAAAAATCTTAATTAATTTTGTGTTGCTTCAAGATATTTATATTTTCTGTATATATGTAATCAAACAGTAGCTAAATCAGTTTTGACCAAAAAAATTTAAAAAAGGCTGAAAATATTACCCATTTTACTTTAAAATGATAACAATTAGAACCTTTGTCATAATACAGAACAATTGGACAATGTCCAGTTTGTCGTATAGATTTCTTTGAGGTTGACCATAAGATGTCTGTTTTGCAAACTGATTACATTTCTATATATGTAAAAAAAAAAAAAAGTAATTCAGTAAAGACTGTTTGACAGAGACAAGGTTTAATATCTTCAAGCCTTTGTAAGGTGAGATAATATATATATATTCAATTATAGATAAGATTGTAATCAGATAAAAAAAAATTGATATTTGTCTTTCAGTTCTAAATTTGCTTATTGATACTGACCTCTAGATGTATTTTTTTTTGTGTCATTTGGGTTGCTGTCATTTTATGTGTCATTTGGATTGCTGTTTTTTTTTGTATCATTTGGGTTGCTGTCTTTTTATGTGTCATTTGGATTGCTGTCTTTTTTGTGTCGTTTGGGTTGCTGTCTTTTTGGTCTTTACCAGATATTTTCTTTCATTCATATGAATATTTATCTAACATTATCATCTATGAATAAAGTTTCCATGGTTCTAAACATTACTTCAAAATCAGGACATTCAGACTTACCTAATATTTCCTTGACCTGTTGGAGTAAGTGGAGGGGTCTGTGGAGATGGAGGGTCAGGTGCACCCAAGACAGGGTATGAGGCACACATGTAGGCATATCTAAACACTCTAAATTCCTAAAAATGAAAAACTGCAGTAAAGTTACAAAACGCTTGCAGAAATATATTTGGAAATCAGATGGTAAAGAGTTATCTTTGTTCAATAATTGACTGTTTTCTATTCATAGCTTGTTATTCTATATTTGAAGGTCACTATATGTTGTTTTGTTTATCCTTACAAGGGATGCAATCAATTATTTTAGTCATCATAAAATTCAAAAAAGTATTTTGTACAAATACCTCAAGTTCAACCTTCTTACTTAAACTGTACTACTTTATTTAAAATGTAATTAGTATTTCTGCAGACTGCTCAGTTAACCTCAAATTGAGGTAAACATGTCACTTGCAAGACATTAGTCATAATAAGGTCAAAAGTATGCAGTACTCTAAGGACCTGTTTTTGTGCTTTGTATGGATCAGATGATTTTTATAGTTTTCTTATGTCTTGCTGTTGTCTCATTAGCAATCATACAACATCTCCTTATTTTATATGCAATGTTCAATTACTCAGTATGACAAGCAGTTTGTATATCTGCATGACACTTTTTAAAAAGATATAAAATTCCAACAAAATGGAAGTAGAATATTGAATGAACTGAAAATGTGTTACACTGTAATTGACCTATCCAAATGGAGCTTGGTGCCTAATATCAAGACGCTACTGTAAATTCAGAAATTATTGCGAGGTTTTTATTAATGCGAATAATGCGACTGAATGAGTATCGCAATAATAAGAACTCTCTTTCTTACATCTGATGCACATAATTGTATGCAGATTTTCCTGAAATCGCAATAATTAATCTCGCATTTTAGTCCATTCTACAAAATTCGCAATAATACATGCACGCAATACTTTGTGAATCTACAGTATAACTTGAAGTTGATGAGGTGTTATGGTAGAGAGGTAAACCAGTTTAAACCCCATTTGGAGCTGTGGCATAATTATGAGGTAGATATTAGGTCAATATCTCAAGAAAGTCTGTCAATGCAGCAGAAAATTGTCAGTTTTATAAATTCTTTTATATCCAAGGACAGTAATTAAATAAAAATCAAGACATTAACAGATTCAAAAACAAGTTTTGATGCAACAGGCAGAGCAATTTCAGTGGCATTTTTTTTTAAATTATGATAAACAGACACAAAGTGATGGACAAAACTTACATTACACCTTTGAAATTAATGAAACTAATAGAAAATATTTAAAACGTTTCTCTGAAATATTTAGTTTGGTCATTTTTTTTTAAAGGCAAATAAAAAATTCAAACCTTTTCATCTAGTTCAGCCACCAGCTGTGAGTTGTCGATGAGGGTTTTAGACATTGCACCTAAAGAAAACAAAATGATATGGATGTATGATGTATATCTAAAGATATTGCATCCTTTTCTCCCTTTCAATGTAATTGAATGTGTGAAATTTAAAAAAAAAATAAAAATTTAATAACATAAAATAAGTCCCATCTTATAGTTATCATATGCTTTATTGTATGGATTGATTGAATGGATGTAGATTTGATTGGTTGGTTGATTGGTTGATTGGTGTTTAACGTCACTTTAACACTATTGTGCTATTTCGTGGCGGTTAGTTTTTATTTGTGGAGGAAGCCAGAGTGCCTGGAGAAAACCACTGACCTTCGGTAGGAAAACTGACAATCCTAGTCAATTAAGATTGGAGTCGAGTGCACCTGCCCCGTGCAGGATTCCAACTCACAACCTCAGTGTTGACTGGCTAGTGATACACTAGTTCGACTACTTAGACTACTCGGCGACTGAGGCCCCTGGATGTAGATTTGAATAACACCAAGCAGCTAATGTTCCACTGATAAGATTGTAACTTATTTTAAAAGGAACTTGCTTTGCTTGATATTCTTGCTACACATGATTACAATAGCTCATAATAACTGTGACAGTTATATATTGGGGGGGGGGGGGGGGGGGTATTGACTTTGCATATTTCACTACTTGCTCATTGTTTTAATTTTGCACTTTCAAACACTGAAATAAATAAATCAGTGAACAATTTGCATTTTGTTTGGTGTTAGTTTTATGGTTTTCACCCTTTAATTGGTACTTGACAAATATTGTTTTCTCTGTAAATATCTATTTGTAGATGAAAAAGGGGGAACTGTTTTACGTATCAATTTTAAATTATAAGATGCATTTGCATTTATTGTATTTGATATTTTTTTATTCCTGTCTCAATAATGTCTACCAATCATCTTTTAATTGATTTCTTCACTAACCTTCTTCAATTCCTTTATCTCTGCCATCACTTCTAACCTTAAACAAATTAGAAATTCTTCGTCATGTAATCTAATAACATGATTGATAATGCATGTATAATCTCATGGCCATCAATTAATATGTTTACATAGAAAGATCAAATTTACACCATTAACATCTTTTGACCAATTTAATTCCAATAATAACATGAAGATCTTTTAAAAGTGTTATAAGATGATACTGATTTGACAATGATTTAAAAATAAAAGACCCAGACATACCGTAATTAATTGTCCTTATAGATTTTATTTGTGATAATCCTAGATTCACTTTAGTATCCTCAGGGTTTTGACGATATAAATTAACTTACTTAAGTTCATAAAAAATAAAAACAAAGCAAGTTTCAAAATAAAATAAAAAGATTTATGTGAAATAATATATTAGTTTTATAAGTAGTAATATGTGTCTGTGTGTAAGTCATACAATTGCTGTGTAAAATGATTGCACAGTTATTGTTATTCAAGCTCACCATTTTTTCTTTTTATTTCTTCTGAAAATTATATACTTATATAAGTGATATATTAAGTTAAATTTCCACCTTTAGTATAACATAAGATAGTTAAAAGACAACAGCTTGATACAATCAACAGTTTGTTTGTTTCATTGCAGCTACTGTTTTCATAAGTTGCTGCGTGAGGGCCTAACAATAAATATTAATACCTCATGAAGTAATTTATGTAACATCTACAACATCTGGAAATAAATTTACAGTGAAATCTGTCAAAACTGTACCCCTTTGAGTTGAGAATTTTGTTTGGATCAGACAAGTGTAACAGTAACATTCATAGACTGTCAAGGTTTTCAAGTTAACTTTGATTATGTTTTCAAGTAGACTTTTTATTTTCCAAAAAAAAAGAAAGGATATAACAATTGTACTATGTTTATTTATAAAAAATTTCATAGAAACTTGTTGGGTCATTCATGCAAACCTTCTGATAAATATAAACCACAAATTCCAAAGAAAATTGCGCAATGAAATTTTTCCAGTGCATGGAGCAAAACACACCTTTAGGTGCTAAGGCCAGGGTTTTTTAATTTGTTGGTTTACAGATCCGCTGAACCTATTTTCCCTGATTTTCAGAAGGAAAAAAATGACATTTCATGATTTTTAATTCCCACTGACCCTAACAAATACATTATCCCTGACATAAATAAAAAGATCTCCATAACAGCATTTTCATTAATTTAAAAACGCATTACTTTAGCATGTTAAATGATTACACTTTGTGTTTGCTAAAAAATGAAGATCTTAAAATAGTGTTTGTGTTTCTAAAAATAGACAATCAAAGCTGACCTTGAAAAGTCGTTAATGGAAACATTTTTGCGGAATAAAATCTATGTTAATAAAATGCTTCGCTGAGCGCAGCTGGATATGACCGCAGAGGTCCAACCCTGAACAGTTGGGGCAAAAATGGACACAATATTCGTGCTTGATACAGGTCTGAATTTGGATTGTAAATAAATATTTGACACATAATTGGTTTCTGAAACCAAATAACTGTAGTCAAAGAACTTAGAATTGGTTATATGATTTCAATTTATATTCAATTTTTTGCTTTTGTGCAATACACTATGCTGTTGCGAAATTGAACAAATTGAACCCCCCCCCAAAAAAAAGAATAAAAAAATTTTTACACCTCCCCACTTTTTTTGCAAAAAGAAATAATATTTGAAGAAATTTTCTTTTTAATTTCTGAAATCTGAAATGATTAAAAAAAATTGCCACCACAATTTCTTTGTTATCCCCCTCCCCCCCTAAATTTTTTTTTCACCTCCCCCCTTTTCCAAAAAAAAAAAATTCTTTCCCTCAAGATCTGGTCATAATCTCAATTCAAATTTCCAATGGAGTTTGCAACCATAATTACCAATTTAAATACATCATAAAAGACTTAAAATAGAAAAAAAAAATCCCCCCCAAATTTTTTGAACCCCCTTATGATTCATCACCCCCAAACTCAATCCCAGCCTTCCCTTTGTGGTATGGTACCTTGCAGTACAATTTCAGAGAGATCCATACACTTGAACAGAAGTTATTGTCTGGAAACTAGAAAAATGCTTGTTTTTTGGCCCCTTTTTGGCCCCAAATTCCTAAACGTTTAGAGCAATTACCCCCAAACTCAAACCCAGCTTTCCCTTTGTGATATGGAACCTTGTAGTACAATTTCATAAAGATCCATACACTTACACACAAGTTATTGTCCTGAAACTAGAAAAATGCTTGTTTTTTGCCCCTTTTTGGCCCCTAATTCCTAAAATTTTGAGGCAATTACCCCCAAAATCCATCCCAGCCTTCCCTTTGTGGTATGGTACCTTGCAGTACAATTTCAAAGAGATCTATACACTTGAACACAAGTTATTGTCTGGAAACTAGAAAAATGCTTATTTTTGGCGCCTTTGTGGCCCCTTATTCCTAAACATTTCGGGCAATTACCCCCAAACTCAATTCCAGCTTTCCCTTTGTGATATGGAACCTTGTAGTACAATTTCAGAAAGATCCATACACTTACACACAAGTTATTATCATGAAACTAGAAAAATGCTTGTTTTTTTTCCCTTTTTTGGCCCCTAATTCCTAAAATTTTGAGGCAATTACCCCCAAAATCCATCTCAGCATTCCCTTTGTGATATGGAACCTTGTGGTACAATGTTAGAGAGATCCATACACTAACACACAAGTTATTGTCTGGAAGTTACAAAAATGCTTATTTTTGCCCCCTTTTTGACCCCTAATTCCTTAACTGTGGGTACCATAACCCCCAAAATCAATCCCAACCTTTCTTTTGTGGTACTGCACCTTATGGTAAAATTTCATTAAGATCCATTCACTTAAACTAAAGTTATTGTGCGAAAACTAATGTGTCTTCGATGACGACGACGACACCAACGTCATACCAATATACGACCGCAAAATTTTTGCAGTCGTATAAAAACCCATTACAATAAATTTATTTTCCTTTCTGTGTTTTCATGCTTGAAGCTCATTATCCACCATGTTTGCTGAAAGTTGATTAAAAGCAACATGTAGCTAGGATTTTTTTTTTGTTTGTTCATGAATGACCATTTCCCCATGTAATGGCATGTTTTATGTTTAAAACAGCTGATCAATAATATTTGGAACTAAAATTGGAGAAATGATGACAAAAAAAGCATACAAAAAATATTTTTAGCAAGCTGAAATATATATTTATTTTATACATTTATGTCTTGTAACTCACCCAAATCTATCAACCAACAAATTAAAAATTCCTGGCCTAACCCCTTTTCAGTGGAGTAGTCTTATAATTATAACCTTTTTTGAGGTACTATGCCACATTTCCCATGAACAAATTTGTCTTATCAATAATCATTACATTTTTTTTCAAAACAAGATGTCATGTAGAAATTAAATTCACCCACCTAACGTAGCCACAAAAAGAAAAATTCCTAAGAGAACAAAATAAAAAGTTGAAATTTTCATCATTTAAAACCATAAGATGCACCAAAAATCAATATAGCAACAAAATTTTATGAGAGAAAAAAAACCTCTCCAGTAACTCCTAATAATGCAACTTCATACCAAGTATTCAATCAAAATCTGTACAATATTTTTTAAATTCTTAGTCCAAGGATTTATTTCAGATAGGGTAAATCAGCAGACACAAAACACTAACTTGATGTGTAACATCATGTGACTACATACTTTCATAAAAGAGTAAGCTGTTAGAAGAAAGGTTTCTGAACATAACTCTTATATTATGAATAAAATTTCTTACCACTCTAAAATTACTGAATGTTGTTTTGCAGACAGCCAAACTCATGCAACATTTTCTTTTACTGTAAAGAAAACAATATGTTATGTGCCTTTTAGAACCTTAAACAGATATATATCTTTTTATATCAATATAAATAGGTCATACAAAAAAAAAACTGTTATGCACTCATTCAGCTGTTTTTAAAAAACGGAATAGACAGAATTTTTTTTATTCATTTTTACTGTTTATGGATAAAATCAAAATGTTTCCTTAGAACACTGATGATCACCTGTGTAGGTATATCCTTCAGTCAACTTATCACTACAATTTTGTGTCATATTTTTATTTCCTTGTTATGCTCATACATGTGCACACAAAACATTACATTTTGAAACCACTTGCATTTGCACATTGTCAAATCTCAATATAATCAAATTCAAATTCAAAACTTCATTGTCATACAAATCAACTTATATGATTTGTGACAAAATAAACAAAATATAGTAAAACAAACATCTAAAATTGAAAAAGAGAAAGCATACATAATAAATAAACTTATAATACTGTAAACATGAATATTTTCAAGGGATGCTATTTTTGCAATTTTAGTGCATACACTTTTAGCACAGAGTTAAATTCGTGCAACAGTGCATCAAGGATAAACTCTCACTTAATACCAGTACTTTTATTCCTAAAAACAATTCCTGCGAGGATATATATTATTGAAGATTTAACGTGATAACAAAATAAAATAAAATAATCCTGGGAACAGTATATCTAACATCCTGAATAATCCCAGTGCAAAAATTTCCAAGTTTACAGTGACATTTGTTTTCCATTCATTTGATGTGTTTGAGCTTTTGATTTTGCCATTTGATAAGGGACTTTCCAATTTGAATTTTCCTTGGAGTTCGGTATTTTTGTTAATTTACTTTTCATTATTCAATTAAAAGTCCTGTACCCATTATAGTAACAACTGTTTTATATAGGACCCTATAATTTCAACCTGTTTTTGTGTTGATGGACTGAGAATATAATAAATATATACATTTCTGACTTATGTTTACAGTGTACTTGAAAGCAATTAACTTTTTATTTATTTATTAATACTAAGTTCAAAACACAATTCATAACAGAATGGTTCAACCCAAGGAAGTAACATAAATTGATATTTAAATGTGGATTGTATTACAATACTGAGTACAACTATAAAAGACCTTATTAGAAAATAAAACAGAATATTTTAGTCAAATTGGTATTGAATTTAGTTTGTATGTGTAGAACATCTGTCTTTTTGAATAAAAACCTCAACCTGTTAATTATCATGTGAGCAACATCTTTTTTTTGGTGCATTTGAGTCCCTCCCAAGCTGTCTCTGGAGTTCTTATTGCTCAATCTTTAGTTTTCTGTAAAGTTTTTTTTGAATGGTTGTTTGTCTATTGTCTATTTCTCTTTCAGCTATGATGTCGTCTGTCCTTGTCTTTTTTTAAGTGTGTTTTTTTTTCACAACACACTAAATCACTTACTTCAGATTACTAAAGTGGTCATGTATCTTCCTCAGACATTTACATTCCCTGAAAAAAAACCAAAAAAATCATCTTATGTCATGCAAGAAATTGTTATGTTTAGAGTCATTAATTTATTAAATTTAAAACCTTTAAAGCATTAAACAATATAAAAAATAAAGTGATTTTTCATCAAAATTTTGCCATACCTCTTTAAACACCCTTTATCATAGATTTATATAGAAATTTTCGTCAAAATTTTGCCATTCCTCTTTAAACACCCTTTATCACAGATTTTTAGAGAAAATATTTGTATAGGATTGAACCCTGTGTCTCGCCTGTGATTGCTATTGTCAGTGTGAAAGTGTAATGTTGACTGTAAAAAGTAAGTTCATGTATCAGTAAAATAACAGATTTTTGTTTTAATTAAACTAGTTTCTTCAGATGCTATCTCTTGGTCTTGAAGATTAGCTACTGTCCATGTTTTATAGGTTGCACTTTGTAAATTCAGCTGTTTCTCAAACCACGCCTCTTTTGGGGAGATATATAATATTCATAGATATGTTAATTTGTTAACGTACTGGTTCCCATTTATGATCTCTGTGTTTCATCTCATAGAGACATCACTTGGGAATGTAACCAGTATAGAAAAACACGGTAGCGCCCAAATTCTTATTCTTAGGAGGTCCAAAAATGGAAGTAAGGGTTCGTATAGAAGTTTAGTTTAAGTTAATTTAAACTCTTAGAAGTTCAGGGCATATAAATGATGAAAATATATCGCACAGCCCTATATTTTGACCTTTGAATAAAATAGTAGGGCATATAAACTTTCCTTTCTGGGATATTATTTTTCACGAAACTTCATAGTAAAAGAGTCACAGTTTTAGCCGCAAAGGGAGTTCCTATGGGAAATTTCATTGTCTATATTTACAGAATTGCAACCTATAACAATCCATGAAGGTCTACAAATTTATCATGTCAAAAACATTTAATCCCAGACTGTCTGTTAATGTTAACCTCAAAAACATAAGTCCATCAATCAGTAAAAACTGAAAAAAAATGAAAAGAAATATTTTTTTTCAAATGTTTGCTTCAGATATTATGTCTTAATCATAAAAATATCTTCTGCTAAAGTTTCATAAAATTCAATGAAGGTTTGACAAAGTAATTGAAACAAGGAATTATTTGAAACTGGCATAATTTTGAATTCTGGAAAATTGATTAGAAATGTATGATGAAAACTAACCCAACTAAATAGGGTTAGCCATGTGTGCATGGCTAAGGTTAATTTTATTTTCACTATCATTTCAGTATGAACTAACTAATCCCCCTTAGCCATGCGTGCATGGCTAACCCTATTTAGTTGGGTTAGTTTTCATCATAAATTTCTCATCAATTTTCCAGAATTCAAAATTATTCCAGATTCAAATAATTCCTTGTTTTGATGTGTAACAAAATTTAACTCTAAACTGTATCTACTTATTAATTGCAAAAAACTATTAGTGAAATATGGGAAAAAGCATATATTTACTATTCTTCTCTGGATTAAAAAAGCTTCCATCCAACTTATGTAAATTTCTCATTTTTTTTCAATGCAATTATCAATACAATTATCAGGTGAAATTCAACAAATTGAGAAAATAAAAGATCACATTAGTTTTTTTAGAACAGGCAAAACAATAATTACATAACAGTTATCTTGAAATTGTGTTTCAAAGAATTAAAGAAAAAAAAACAAAATGTCAGAAAACTGTTGCCTGTCAGCTCTGATGTATTGTAGTTTCACTTCACGTTTAATTCCAATAGATAACAATCACTGTAATTCTAAACTGCACACGATTGGGATATAATGTGATAAAATTTCCAGCAATTTTATCTTTATCATCTCTAAAACACACAAGTATTAATCTCCTCATTTTTATATGTAATTTGATTTCATTGCCATGGTATAAGATCATTACTATATTTTTTTAAAGGGAAGTAACTCTGAGCAGTGATAAATGTACTGGTAGTTTTCTATACAGTACTTTAATTAATGTATATATTTCATTGTAAAATTTGATGAACTATTAGTGGTATACTTTCAACAAGAATGTCATAACTAAAATAAGTCTCACCGTAGAATGCTAGAACCCAAATCTGTACAAACAGAACCTTCTGATGCATCTCTCTGAGTCCATAAATTTTCTTCACTCTTGCACATATGGAGAAGAATGTCCTTGGGTTTCAATGAAACTGTCTCCATGGTTCTAGTAATTTCTGGAGAAAGACTACAATTTTTATGAATTTATTAAAACTTAAAATTCAGAAAATATCAAGAGAGTTTCATGAATAACAGAAAATATTAAATAACAATAAAGTAGGCAGTCACTATCTATACCAGGGTTGGCAAAGTATTACCCAGGTGGGAAAACCTGGGTGGGAAAACCCGGGTTTTCCCAGGCTGGTTATTTTTGCACAGAATATCAAAGACATGTTGTAGGTTCAAAGTAGTATAGCTAAATATATACATTTAATACAGATACACATTGAGAGTCATTTTCAGAGGATAAAAAAATCAATTTCTTCTTTTTCTCAAACAATTTTATGTAGGCAGACTACAACAAAGTTTGCTGATTTTGGATACATTGTTTTATTTCAAGGTTTAATGTTTCAATAATTCAAACTTTAAAAAAAATGCATTTTAGTGCAAAATTTAGAGTACAATGTATTGTTAAATTCAATTGTTATTCAATCATATTGCTAAATAAACACAGTAAAAATAATTCAGTAATGAACATAGTTGATATACGTATTCAACATTTTAAAGAACATTTTACTCTTAACAATAACCACAATAAACCTATTTCTCGTATCAAACATAAACTAAAAGAACTAGCCAAGGAATTTGTTTTTGTCCCGGCCGATAAAGCTGCTAATAATATTATTATTGTTTGACGTAAATTTTACATTGAGGTTCTGAAAAAAGAAATCACCAATTCACCAACATTCCAACTGACTCCATTTTCAGAAAACAACATCTGTAACAAACATAAACTTTTAGCTACCACTTTACAAGCAGAACCAAATACAATGAAAGTCCCAACTATGTATTGGCTTCCGAAGCTACACAAAACACCTTACAAATATAGATCCATTTCGTCTTCAAGCCATTGTTCCACTACTAAATTGTCTATTCTTCTTACCAGTACACTTGGTACAATCAAAAACCTGATAATAAATTGTTCAAATAAGGCCTTCGAAAAATAGTGGAATTAATTACTTTTGGAGTGTCAAGAACTCGTTGGAAGTACTTGATAAATTACATGCATATATTGGTGATTTTGAATCTGTTCAAAGTTTTGATTTTTCTACCCTATATACCACATTGCCTCACATTCTCATTAAGAAAAAAATCACACACCTTATTAAATGGGCATTTAAAAAGTCAGAATGTGAATATATATGTTCAAACTCTTTTAGGTCATTTTTTAGTAGCAATAAACAAAAAAACTATGTCAATTGGACATGCTTTGATACTATATATGCCCTTGAATTTTTACTAGATAACATTTTTGTTCGCTTTGGAGATTCCGTATATCGTCAGGTTATCGGAATTCCAATGGGGACTAACTGTGCACCACTTATTGCGGACCTTTTTTTGTATTGCTATGAGTTACAATTTATGACAAAAATCAGCAAAGACCCATCGAAACAACATCTGATACACAAATTTAATAATACTTTTAGATATTTGGATGATATTTTGGCTCTCAATAATGACGACTTCAGTATGTATACTAAAGAAATTTATCCTGTTGAACTTACTTTAAATAAAGCTAATACTAACAATGACCACTGCCCTTTCCTCGATCTTGATATCTATATCACTAATGGAAAGCTTAATACTAAAATATATGATAAAAGAGATGATTTTTCATTTCCTATCGTTAATTATCCTTTTTTAGATGGTGACGTTCCCTTGTCACCATCTTACGGTGTTTATATATCTCAACTTGTACGATTCGCTCGTGTATGTAACAATGTTTTAGATTTTAACGAGAGAAATTTATGTATTACTGAAAAATTATTACACCAGGGTTTTCGATATCACAAACTAGTCAAAACATTTACTAAATTTTATCATCGGTATAAGGACATCATTCGTAAATATAGCTCAACATGCAGACTTCTTATACGTTCAGGTATTTCACATCCAATTTTTTATGGAAATATTCTTTATAAAGCACAAAAATGTCAGTATACACCTCTGAAGCTAACAAAACCTTTAAACAGACTTATTAAGAAGGGATATAGTTACGATACTGTTGTCAGGTCATTAAAGATTGCATATTTTGGCGTTAATATTGATTCACTTATAGGGTCTTTGCATCGGCACTAAACACATTTATTTAAAAACCAGTTGTTGGCATGACACGGGTTATGTTCTTCTCATATATGTTATGATGGTATGATACTAAACCCCTAACGGAAAGGATTGTGCCTGATATTCATATGCTGAAGAAATAATCTTTCAATCAGCTTAATTGAAGTCTGGAGCTGGCATGTCAGTTAACTGCTAGTAGTCTGTTGTTATTTATGTATTATTGTCATTTTGTTTATTTTCTTTGGTTACATCTTCTGACATCAGACTCGGACTTCTCTTGAACTGAATTTTAATGTGCATATTGTTATGCGTTTACTTTTCTACATTGGCTAGAGGTATAGGGGGAGGGTTGAGATCTCATAAACATGTTTAACCCCGCCGCATTTTTGCGCCTGTCCCAAGTCAGGAGCCTCTAGCCTTTGTTAGTCTTGTATTATTTTTAATTTTAGTTTCTTGTGTACAATTTGGAGTTTAGTATGGCGTTCATTATCACTGAACTAGTATATATATTTGTTTAGGGGCCAGCTGAAGGACGCCTCCGGGTGCGGGAATTTCTCGCTGCATTGAAGACCTGTTGGTGACCTCCTGCTGTTGTCTGTTCTATGGTCGGGTTGTTGTCTCTTTGACACATTCCCCATTTCCATTCTCAATTTTACCCTATGAAGGGGACATGTCGAGGAGTCTAAACCGCCATGGTCACGGATAGAATTGAAACGGCTGATTATTACAATATAAACAAATCTGTTATAATCTGAATAATTACTTTTAATTAGTGATGTACATCTTTATAGGTATGCTTTTCTCTGTAAACACTTTTTTGCAATGAACAAAAATTGTTGAATAGTCATTTATAAATTTAAACAAAAAATTAATTCTTTGGCTTCATGTTAACAATTTCAACAAATCAGACAGAATGGCAATTTAATAGATTTTTAGGAAGATTATCTGTCCATGTGTCTTCATGTTTATCTTAGAGTTGCTGGACCAATACTTTCTCAGATTTAAACACTTCACTTGACAATAAAGTCTAAAATAAGTGAAATTATAAAACTAAAATACTCTCTTATATATATCTTTTCATGGGGTGTCACCATTACAAAGTTTTAAAATTTTCTCGTTTTTTATAGTTAAAGTCACAAAGGTAGTAACAAACCAAACAGTAACACATGGTTTACAAAATTGATTTAAATTTCATTTTTCTTTGATACTTGCCAGCATAGACAATCACATCTAGGTCTAAGTGTAAGTGTAAATCATAATGTATGTGCATCAGTGCCAAATCATTTACTTAGTCATTTCTGACCCATTTTCATGATTTTTGCACATAAAAACATTTTTTCGGGACCTGAGCTCGCCATTTCTCACATGCACAACTGGTTACACTAATTATACGAACAATTTTAAGAATGGAAAATGTGTTCTGAAAGTCAATCTTGTTGCATTTTTTAATGCTTTCAGCTGTAAGTAGCACTGTATTATTTTGTATTTTGCAAGAAATACGTCCATGTTATAAAAATAAAGAAGCGGTTTTAGATGTTTGCTTATAATGTGTGCGTCTGGGATCTGGGTATCCATTTCCAAGAGAACAACAGCCATCACATGCTAGGTTCATTAAGAGTCGTTGGTACTTCCAATTTGGGGCTGATTTGTGGTTTTTCTTGAAGAAAGAGGGTAAAAAAATTTCAAAACATGTATTTAGTTAAAATTTGAAGGAAATTTGTATAGGAAGTGGTATAGAGTTTAAGATGTTGATAATATACACCTATTAACTGGTTATGAGGGTAATAGCAAGTTTGTTGCCCCTAAACTACCAACTATTGTTTGATGCGAAGCTGAGGGCAATAGTCAGTATCAAAGGGACAACATACTTGCTTTTACACTCATAACCAATCATTGAGTGTTTTATTATACCGAACAAAACTATTTCTAAAAAGTCTACATACACCACCTGGGAAAAAAACCCAAATAGTCACATAAACATGCACAAGATGAACTATCAGGTTTTTTATGCCTGTGTGATATTTGTAAATATTTTAATTTCCTGTAATCAAGATTGGGAATCCTTGTGTAAAAAATTACACTAAAGCAATCGCAGATTATGGAGATGACGACAGACTCATACCATACATTTGTTATGTTTTAGCTCTTCAAATATGTTGCATAGATTTTCTTTTTCTTTTTTTATTGCTTCTGTTAAGTAATATATTAATTTGAAATTACGACGACAGACACATACAGATTATACCTTCACAAATCCAAGCAGAATAGTCAATGACGTCATTGCTGTCCAATGAAAAATTAGTATGAAACAGTCCAGGAAATATGTTTATAAAAACTATTGACCGGGTTAATAGTCTTTGAAACTATTAACTGGCACATAGTCTGTGGAATGAATATAGCACAAATGTTTCATTCTTTTTATATAGAAAAAACATACTATAATAATAACAAATAATAAAAACTTTTTAAACTTTTAAAATACATGTATAAATAAACTTTAAAACCCCTTCAAAGTCATTTGAAAATTTAGAATTGTCTCTACTTTCATACCTGTATATATATTGTATCATAGGAGCTGAATTAGTAATTAACTATTGGTACATACATTTTCATTTTATAAATAATCCATCTAAATTTTACTGTATATATGGTTCACCATTTTTAAACCTAAGGGGGTGTCACAGGTGACACTTACCTGTATCTGCCTCTGGTCTGTGTTAATATTAACAAGTTACAAGTGATGTTAATTTACTGATATAGGTAAATAATTTTGTAGGTAGAGTTATCTCCTTTAGTCACTAAGATTTTTTAAAGAGTTACATACCTGCTAACTTTTGAAAATCCCCATGGGGGTTTTAGTGCGTGACAACAATTTCAAAGGTTAGAATTTTTTGCGGCGTTTTTTGCATGCACTGTTTTGTGCTCTAAAAAAAGTTTGATATCTCTTTTTTATATGGTATACTGATGATGAGCTTATAAGCATTTTTCTCCTTTTTATTTGTATGATTCTAGTTCTTAAACTATAATATTGTGTAGAAACGCTGAACATGCAGCTAGAATACTAGGATATATTTTCTTGTGTAGGAGGGGCCTCGGTGGCCGAGTGGTCTAAGTAGTTACTACTGTAATCACTAGCCAGTCAACACTGAGGTTGTGAGTTCGAACCCCGCTTGTGCGGGTGCACTCGACTCCAATCTTAATTGACTAGGATTGTCAGTTTTCCTATCGAAGGTCGGTGGTTTTCTCCGGGCACTACGGCTTCCTCCACCAATAAAAACCACGAAATAGCCCAAAAGCGGTGCTTAAAAGTGGCGTTAAAACACCAAAAATCAAATCAAAATCAATCTTGTGTAGGAATATTAAAGATGATTTTAATTCAAAAATATGCACAAAGAAGGACATTTATCTGATTCCTTGTGAAAAATAAAAGACAGTACATTCTACTTTAAATAATCTTGTAATTTAATTACAAGAATGACAACACTGTATGATCTGTTAGTAACAGTCACAATAAGTGTAATGTCCATAAGCTACTATTTATTATGTTTATGTTTATGGTAATACATGTACTGCATCTTTGAATTTTATTAATCAGCCATGCTTTTCTTCTTTCTTAATTGAACTTCAGGAATTCGATTTGTATGTCTTGTATAACAATTGCAATATGGCAGACGTAATTATTCAAAAGTATGACATTCCAGCAGCACCTGCATATACCGAGTTTATACATGTATCATTTTCCAGTTGATACGTTATTCCAGGGCTTGTACTTCCTATCATGATTTCCTTGATAGAGGGTTGCTGCTCAAAAGGAAGCTATTAAACCAAGAGTTCCAAGTAGTGAAGTTGAAATCGTCCCTTCCTAAATTTTACAGACACCATCAAGAGTTGGTAGACTGGCATGGAATATCTGTTTCACACTTCGACTTCTTTTGATATAATTTACCAATAAGTTGATATTTCATGCAGATGCAGTTATGTTGATCAAAATACTAGATATATATTTGAAGATCACATTATTGCCTGGTGGGTGTTAAATGAGAATGTTGAACAACGAATACCAGTAGGGATTACAGATTGAAAAGGTAAAGACTCAAACAAAGCTAGTCAACTTGAAAATTTGTATTCTGCTTCAAATTTTGCTGTATATAAGTTTATAACTGTATTTGCGAATTTCATGTTAAATCGTCATTAACTATCTTACCTATAGAAGACAAACAACTTCTATGTTGGTTACTATGTACCAATTTTCAGGCCGATTTCTATATAATCGTCAAAGTAAAAGATAGCTGTAATTTTTGTCCCCTTTCGACAGCCGCCATTTTGGATAGTCACATGACCTCTGTAAAAACATAATCTTTAAATCACAAGAAAATCACTGAAAATGTTATAAACTGCAAAGTAATATTTTTTAATATTTTTATTTATAAATATTATATTAATTAAATATATATTTTAAGGTTTCTTTATCTGTTTATAGTTAAGTAACATACAGTGGAATATATTTATAAGATTCCTAGAAAAAACGAAATTTAAAAGTTAGTTGTGCCAGAGACATATACATGTGTATATATGTCTCTGGTTGTGCCCAGAAATATTGTCCAAAGAGACAAGATTTTTACTGAATCTTTGATCGGCTATATTCTACTTTGTCAGTAAAATATTTTTATTTACTTATTAAATGTGTTTGATTTTTTTTTTTATTAAATCAAGGGAGGGAAAAATAGTTACTGCAAATAAAAAAAAATCATCTATATACAACCAGATATCTTTGAATAAGACAAAAAATATGCACATTTTTTTTATTGAATATCCTAAACCATCGCATGCGGTGATTTAAGAGCAGATTTTAGTACCTGGCAATGAAAACAGATTTGTGATGGACAAGCTCACTACAACATCGTATGGCAAGCTCCAAGAGAGAGAGAGAGAGAGAGAAAGAAATTTCCTGAGAAGAGTAAGCATTCCGTGTTCCTCTAGTCGTACCCGTCGACTTGGCTATGCCAAGTAAAAATCATCGTTAATAAGTCACATTCGGTGCTGTCAAAAATGAGGAGAAGAGACGGAATCTATGGATACGACAATCGAAACATATCCATCGCATCTAAAAACAGATAATGCATAGACGGTCTATTAAGTCATCATGGCGTCCGTTAAACATTCGAAAAATTAATTCAACTTTACCATTTGGAACCCTTTGCTTCACTTAAACAGCTCCCGAATAAGCAGCAAACTTAATTGTATATATGTGGCATCCTTTTTTTTTCAAGTTCAGTGCATGGGGGATAGAAGTGATGAACATAGTCACAAAATTTTGAATTATTCATAGAGAGGACATCATACGGGTCAATGTGCGCATCTCATTTCAGGGAAATTTCAGGGGAGCGTAAATGGTAGCATTTTCTTCAATTAATATGTCCATATCGTAAATCTGTATATTTATGATGGCCTGTTTCGAAGCTGAGACATTTTCTCATATGTGGTTATATTTTTTTGGGGTACGAAGTGGTATTCATTTTCGGTGATTTTGCATACCCCGAAAAACTCTTCGTGATGGCACTTCCCGAAGTAAACAAATCCATTTTTTCACTCAAAAAGTTCTCTGGAAATCTGGAAATTGAGTTCTTCGCAAGAACTTAATAAAACTATAGTGTTTACACCTTTATTCTATGGTTCTCTGCTCTTCACATCAGCACAAATGGGTAGCTAAGTCACTTGTTAAAGATACCAGCATGTCTAATACTTTAATAGCACCGCACAGAGATTGTTTTTTTTTACATATTATATTTAAGAAAGGGATATTGACCCATCTATAGCGGAACATGAAGTTTATGGAAAATATCGGACTCTTTTCATTGTTGCCGTCTTGATGGTCTTGTGATAGCGTGCTCGCCTCGAGTCCTGGAGATCGTCATACATGCCCAAGACTAACCCAAATGTATAGATATCGACAGTATCTACACGATCTCGATGATGAATTTATGATGATCCATGTCATAAACAAATGTCGAAATCGGCGCTGTCATCTCAATATTGAATCGATATCGATGGTGACTTTAGACAACGACCAGTTTAGACCGATAAACTACACAAAGTGTTATACTATTAGGTGGTGAGATGATGGGTTAATTGTAATCAAATTATCCATTTTATCAGAAGTAATGGACTTCTGATTGTATATATAAAAATAAGGAGATGTGGTATGATTGCCAATGAGACAACTATCCACCAAAGTTCAAATAAAGTGGATGTTAGCAATTATAGGCAACCGTACGGCCTTCAACAACGAGAAAAATCCATACCGTATAGTCGGCTATAAAAGGCCCCTGAAAATTATGAAACAATTCAATTGAGAAAATAACGGCCTAATTTATAACAAAACAATTTACGAAAAACAAATATAACAAACATGAACCAACGACAACCACTGACCTACAGGCTCCTGACCTGGGAAAGGCACATAAGGAATGTGCAAGTTTTGCTTATTTGTTAGACGAACAAAAAAAAAAAACTGGTTGGACCGTGTTTCATTTCGGTCAACCTATTATTGTCTCTTGAAGTTAACTGACTGAAATGTCGGAAGTTTCATATACAATATTTCGAACAAAAAGAGAGAACTCCAGCTTTTTATGAGAACCGGTCCGGTGTAGAAAAAGTTTGCTCTCTAAATCCCTATTATAGCCAGCTATGCCGGATATCATATCATATACGCTACCAGTTTTCCCGACTAATATTACTAAGTACATAAACTGATTAAAGGAAAAATAAATTAATCTGGGCATTACACAATGAATAACCCCATAAATTTAATCGGATAGTGATATCATTCGGTCTAAAATGTGTATTTATTGACGCATATATTTGAAAAAGTAGTGAAGTAAAAAAAAAGGAAGAAAAATTAACCATTGCAGCTTTTTCTCAATTTTAGTGATGTTTATATCTTTTACAAAACGTTTTCATTCCGTGTCTATAAATATATTAGAGTCTAGTTATTACAGAGATTCCAGGCCGGACTTCCTTATTCCTGATTTCTCACAATTTTACTCAGAGTCGGTACGTATTCTATTGAAACATTTATCTGCTTCCATATATCAAAATGATATCTGGTGGTAAATACCCGCTGTAAATGGGTTTTGGTAAATGCCATTCGATAATTAGCCCCGGAAGGTGAAAACGGGACAGGCTTTCTTGATAATAATATACCGAGATGTGATAAAAATATGAGGTGACTTTTACTGTAGAATTAATATAAGGAAGAATACATTCCATTTAGGATTTTTTTAAATTCACAACATTTAAATGGGCCATGACTTACGAATTTTTTCTGTAAAAACGGCTAAAATATGAAATACGTTGCCGCGAGACAATAAAGTGGCTTTGAATCCTTCGACAAGTTAAACCGTTTTGCAAAGACCTTTTTTACACATGTAAGTTATTAGCCAATTTGTCGACCATGCAGTGGTACATCACAGTTACCAAAAAAAAGCATAGTAGTTTATTATGTCCCAATCACTAAGTAAAAAGGGACTTTATTTATAGAGTGTATATTTACAATAAAACTAAGTATAAATGCAGCCATAATTTCGTGGAGCCCTATAAAAATCTAGTACATGTTATATAAATAAACAAAATATGGATTGCTGTATCAATGTTTCTTATTTTTATCGTTTTGGTTTCTGTCGGGGGCTTTACGTATATCCCTCATGTCCTTGAATTATTAAAAATTAACATAGACGGTGGATCATAATATATACGAGGGTCTGGATTGGGGTCCTTCATTTCTATATCCTTTAATTTTTTATGCCATTTTTCTCTATTCTTTACACTTTTGGCCCATTATTCTCTATTCTTTATATTTTAGCACCTCATTATTCTCTATTTTTTATTCTTTGGGTTCATTTTTCTCTATTCTTTATATTTTTCCCCATTATTCTCTATTCTGTAAACCCCCATCCACACCCTCATATACGAGCATACGTACATGCCTAAAAAGTGTACATAACAACACCCAAAAAAGTAAAAAGTAACTACAAGTAACAATAAATATTTCGAATAACAGATATCTTTCATCATCATCATTTATAAAAAGCCCCAAATTGACAAATTTTAAACAATTCAAACGAGAAAACCATCGGTGTTATTTATGTTCAATACAACCAGAAGTCCATTAGAGTCTAGTAATAGACTTCTGATACAACTAAAGCAAACCAAATATCATAGACCGCGAACAACAACAACTACTGATTCATGCACATGCAGGCTCTCGACTTGAGACAGGCACAAATAGAATCTGTCTGAGTTAAACATTTTTGTTAACAATCAACCATACCTCCCTCTAACCTGGGAGAAGGGTATTACAGCACATAACAATAAAAAGAACAAATAATAAAAATAAATTGGAAATATCTTCACCTGACTGGTCAGATTGACTGAAAGCACGTAAAACAACTAACACAAAGACAAAAGAACCAAAAAAAAAAATATCTAAGAGTACTCGCACGTACTGAGGGCTAGTTTAAAATAAGGATAAGGAGATGTGGTATGATTGACAATTAGACAACTGTCCACCAGAGTCCAAATGGCATGTGTGTAAGCAACTATAGTCCACCGAACTGTCTTCAGCAATGAACACTAGAGCGTGCTCTTATACTGTATCACAGAAATTCCTCTTGCATTTTTTATTTCAACTGTTGATCATTTCTTTTGTATGCTGCAATGAGTTTGTAATAATATTTTTTCAAAGTGTGTACGTCTTGAAATGGGATCCGGGGAATATTCACAAATTTTATTAACATCTGTATTTTGGATGGAGAAACGGCAGTACTTTTGTACAGAGACAGTCTATACTAGTTAGTATATAGACTGTCCCTGTTTTGAACCATCAACAATGGAATCATCGTGATCTTTATGATTATCTAAATCCAGGTTTTTAAGAAGTTTTTTAGACATATATATTTTGTAAAATTGAATATCAAATAAAAAAAATATTGATCATTGCAACTCATACCGCGTAACATTTGTCGCCGAAAATCTGTTAAATTCGTTTCGCTAAAATCCTTTCGGTAAACTCAAATCTTATGACGAAGGTCAAACATTCACATTCTTTGTTGAAACGGAGTGTGACACACACTACTGCACGACTGTGTACTGTAAACAATCAAAAATAATGAATTCCTAGATAAAAGATTTATGGAAAATTTATCCTAAAGTGATGCTGCAGTAAGTGTAGTCCACTTAAAATACAGAAATATATTCTCTGTAATTGTTAAAAATAAAATTCGTCTGCCAATCGACCCAAGCCAATGGCAATGGCGCGTTGGGAAGTTTAAGAATAAATTATTTGTTAGAAATGCTTACTGATAAAGAAGTTATTTCTTATTTAAAGCTATGTTATATTTCTAAAGCATGTTTATTTTTTTCTGGTCTTGCTATATTGTAATTCTTGCATGTGAATATTTATGTACAAGACCACGGTTGAACAGGAAAATATTGACATGGCCATGGCCTGACCTAAAAAGCGTGTTCTATAAATAGATATTACTGCAAGATATCATAAGATACCCATTTGACTTCTCAGATCTTTTCTCAGTTCTAAAAGCAATTAAATATATGATATTTTATATTTATTGAATTTTAAAAACTCGACTTGTTTAACTACTAACTTGCAACTTTCAGATGCACTCCACAGCAACCTACAAATGTATACATGTAGCTGCAATGCATGTATTATACATGTAATTTTTCCACAGCAGTTGGTTTGATGTTTCCTGAAGCATATGAAAAGGACAGGATAATTTTTACTCAGATGCTGAGATGGCACTGTTAGTGAAAATGGCTACACTTTCAGGGCACCCTCAACATAAATATAAAGGCACCGCTATGAATACTCAGAATAGGAAATCAAACAAAAAATGTTACCATTATTGTTTCATGTTCAATTTAATAGTGATAGTGTGACCACCTAGTTTTATTTAATAACTCTGATAACTTTAATAATAGTGATTCTGGCTGGCCAAGATATACATGTATATTCGATCATTTGTTGTGAAAATGTTGGGACTTGCATGGCGAAGAGCATAAGCATTGCTTTTTGACTGCAGAATCAGTGTGAAAGACTTATTGAGATTTAAGGTTTACCAATTGAAGCAACCTTGACTCACTACTTTATTAAGGTTAATCATGCAAGTTTTTTTTTCTTTTTAGATTAAAACTGGGTTTGCTTTTGGTACTATGAACCGAATCAGTTGACCCATAAATGGCTAATTATCTTTCAGGAAAGGTGTTAAATTATTGTTGCCCTAATTAAGTAATTTGTCAGACAATAACAATCTGACAGCTGATGATGTGTTGTAGTTCCTATCAAAACTATCTGTTAGCTGCTGTTTACTTTTATTGTATTTATAAAAGATGAATAGCACTACAAACCACAGAGTTAAGGTGCAGGGTGCCGAAAAGTCAAAGTAAGGGGAGGGTGTCATTGAAAAGGGACAGGGCCCTCCAATTTCCTCAAATATGAAACCATGTTTAATTCATTTTGCTAAAATTGTTTTGAATCACATGCTACATAGAATGACATGTGTTTACTGTTAGCAATTTGTATCAGAAATATGTTTTTATACGACTGCAAAAAAATTTTGTGGTCGTATATTGGTATGACGTTGGCGTCGTCGTCGTCCGAAGACGCATTAGTTTTCGCACTCTAACTTTAGTTTAAGTGTATGGATCTCAATGAAATTTTGCCATAAGGTTCAAAACCACAAAAGGAAGGTGGGGATTGATTTTGGGGGTTATGGTACCAACAGTTAAGGAATTAGGGACCAAAAAGGGGCCAAAAATAAGCATTTTTGTAACTTCCAGACATAACTTGTGTGTAAGTGTATGGATCTCTCTGACATTGTACCACATGGTTCCATATCACAAAGGGAATGCTGGTATTGATTTTGGGGGTAATTGCCTCCAAATTTTAGGAATTAGGGGCCAAAAAGGGGCAAAAAACAAGCATTTTTCTAGTTTCATGACAATAACTTGTGTGTAAGTGTATGGATCTCTCTGACATTGTACCACAAGGTTCCATATCACAAAATGAATGCTGGGATTGATTTTGGGGGTAATTGCCTCCAAATTTTAGGAATTAGGGGGCAAAAAACAAGCATTTTTCTAGTTTCATGACAATAACTTGTGTTCAAGTGTATGTATCTTTATGAAATTGTACTACAAGGTTCCATATCACAAAGGGACAGCTGGAATTTAGTTTGGGGGTAATTTCCCAAAAAGTTTAGGAATAAGGGGCCAAAAAGGGGCAAAAAACAAGCATTTTTCTAGTTTCCAGACAATAACTTGTGTTCAAGTGTATGGATCTCTCTGAAATTGTACTGCAAGGTACCATACCACAAAGGAAAGGCTGGGATTGATATGGGGGTAATTGCCTCAAAATTTTAGGAATTAGGGGGCCATAAAGGGGCAAAAAAACAAGCATTTTTCTAGTTTCAGGACAATAACCTGTGTGTAAGTGTATGGATCATTATGAAATTGTACTGCAAGGTTCCATATCACAAAGGGAAAGCTGGGTTTGAGTTTGGGGGTAATTGCCCTAAACGTTTAGGAATTTGGGGCCAAAAAGGGGCCAAAAATTAAGCATTTTTCTAGTTTCCAGACAATAACTTGTGTTCAAGTGTATGTATCTCTCTGAAATTGTACTGCAAGGTACCATACCACAAAGGGAAGGCTGGGATTGAGTTTGGGGGTGATGAATCATAAGGGGGTTCAAAAAATTTGGGGGGGGGGATTTTTTTTCCTTTTTTTTTCTTTAAAGTTTTCCATTTTAAATTGGTTATTTCTGATTTATATATAAAAGCAAATAATAATGATATGGTTTGAATAGGTTAATTAAAAATTTTTAAGTTCTTAGACCACATTCATTCTGTGTCAGAAACCTATGCTGTGTCAAATATTTAATTACAATCCAAATTCAGTGCTGTATCAAGCTTGAATGTGGTGTCCATACTTGCCCCAACTGTTCAGGGTTCGACCTCTGCGGTCGTATCAAGCTGCGCCCCAGCGGAGCATTTTATTTGTTTCTGAATCTAACATGTAATTTAAATTATTTTAAACAGTTTACTGTCTTTGATTTTCATGTTCTGCTCTTATTTAGAAATACAGAACTGTATAAATTTCCAATTTATTAAGTGTCTTTGTAGAGAAGTGAACAAATTTGAGGGAGACTTCAAAAAAAGTTTTTATATAAGCACTTGCAACATTTCATATGAAGTTACTAATTTTGTGTTTGTCAATGCAAAGCAATATTAAGTAGAAATAACTATCTATTTGAATTTATTTGTTGTATTAAAACTATTTGTAGAGAAATCTGGATTGTTATAATAACCTCTCAATTATCTAAACATTAAGGTAGAATTAATGCCTCAGGTACTTGTAACTGAAAGAGATATGAACTACATTTTTGTACATGTCTGCTTGGGGGAAATCTGGACTTTAGGCTTACACCAATCAATCAATCTGATCATGATATTTTAAGTATATAATTGAAACATGGCTATTGTTATAACTTGTATTTTTTGGCATTAAGTATGCAGATGGATGTGGTATCATTTAGTAAGGTTAGAAAAGAATGCACCTAGTCAGAAATGTGATGTCCTTTTGTTTTTGTTTTATTGAGATGTTGCGTATTATTTGAATCTTTTTGAGAAACATTTGAGGTCCAAGGATTATTTTTTTCCAGGAATAGATTACCTCTTCTGTATTTAGCTTCTTCAACTTCATTCACTTTTTTGATTCAAATGTCACTTATGTGTCTTTTGTAGATGTAATGAGTGTCTGGCATACAAAATTCTAATCCTGGTATCTATTATGAGTTTATTGATTTCTAACATGATTTATACATTTATGGTTGGTACTGAGGAAGGTAAATGTTTTAAGTTTTAAGAGGGAAATAGCGCTTGCTTCAAAATAGTCAGACACTTTTCATGAAAAACTTTCAGGAAAGCACAAAAAAAAGGCTACATATGTAATTTGAAACAAAACTTTTTAAACTTTTGCATAGATGCAGATCTCAATATGTTATTTTCTTTTCTTGCCATTGAAAACAGTTGAAAATAAAAATACTTTTACAAGCTATTAGAAAATTGTAGATTACAAATGCATACATGCTGTTACATTGTAACTCTTACTTATTATATGCAATATTGTTTGTAAATCCTGTTTTGTATATTCTAACTTTGACATATCAATTTTTATTATCCTTTATCATTTTCTCAAAAGTTGATAATTTTACCATTGGATTGGTAAGATCCTGAATGAACAATAGATAAGGAAATCCTCAAATCGAGCAATTAATTTTGTTTTTTTTACTGGATTTTTTACAATTTTAAATGAAAAGGGAAGGGGCTAAAACTCTTTCCTCTGTTCAGGCAACCATGCCTCAGATTTTTAGTTTTATAAACTGGTACAAAAATATATTGTTCTGTTTAATGAGACCATATCCTACAATCATTGAATCCTATTAAGATTGTGGATATGATCAATAAAAGGAAGTAATTTTAATATAAAGATATTTCTTTAAATTTTCAGTGGTTTTGGATGATTGATCCATTTACAAAGCATATATGTTAAGCCTAACCCTAAATGAAACTTTAAACTTCCACAAATGATGACAAGATACATATATTCTGAAGGTTAAAATTATTACATTTTCTTACATTCAACTCTTCAAATATATTTGAAAGTGTAAACTATAATAATCATTATAAACATATGCCAGCATTGTAATTTAATTGTTATTGGAGCTGGTGCAGGAAGCATGTTTTGAAAGGACCAAACACAATTTGAGTGTTTTTATACGACCGCAAAAATTAAAAATTTTTTGGTCGTATATTGGTATGACGTTGGCGTCGGCGTCGTCCGAAGACACATTGGTTTTCGCACTCTAACTTTAGTTTAAGTGAATGGATCTCCATGAAATTTTACCATAAGGTTCAATACCACGAAAGGAAGGTTGGGATTGATTTTGGGGGTTATGGTACCAACAGTTAAGGAATTAGGGGCCAAAAATAAGCATTTTTGTAACTTCCAGACAATAACTTGTGTGTAAGTGTATGGATCTCTCTGACATTGTACCACAAGGTTCCATATCACAAAGGAAAGGCTGTAATTGATTTTGGGGGTAATTGCCTCAAAATTTTAGGAATTAGGGGCAAAAAAAGGGG